TTTTACCATTAAATTACTCTTAGTTGAATATCCCCAAGTAAAGTTCTCCATATTGTAATTCCTTATAAATTTGCAGTTTGCTCCCACGCGTTGGTCGTTTACCTTCCAATACCGAGTAGCGGTGGCCATTGGCCACTTCGTTTACTGTTACTGCCAAAATTATCTACTTAAGGGCACTCACATTATGTTTTCCATATAAAATTAATTTGAAATTAGTTTTCCATTAAAAAAAAACTACTTCTTTTTTATATTAGAAATAACTAAAGTAATATCAATATTCAAAGACAGGATTTTTTCCTAAATAAGGCTTTACAATTTTATGAATCCAGCCAAATAATATAACTAATATTTTCGGATTACTACGCCTTTTTATTATTTATAAAAACTATGTAATTTTATCTCACATACTTCAGACATTCACATCTCGTCTGCCCGTGATCACGGTTGCTGCAAAGTAACCGAAACGTTATTAGTATGTAGATTAAAATAATAATATACGCAGTAATCAGAAAATATTAGTTGCATTTAAATGAATACTCGTGAAAGTACATCTCATTGAATAATGGATTGTATGAAACATTCTCAATCTCAGCTTATTGCTAATAAACTAGAGTTACGTGGTCACAAAAAGCACTCATTACATTCAAAATAAAAAATCATTTTATATGCTTGTTTTTTTTTACAAAATTGTATTATGTAAAGTTAAAAATTCTATTCATCCATACTTGGTATAACTTCAAAGTATTAGAAGATGTACACATACTTAACAGCACAACTAGCTTCATAATCATTTTGTTTTCCAATCATATTTATTATCGTCACTGTAAGAGTTAAGTATTAACTAAACTGTATAAAAAACTTAACTGACAAACTGTGAGTTTGTTCGACTCTCCAATCGGTCTTGAATCCCTACTAATATTATAAATGCGAAAGCAACTCTGTCTGTCTGTTACGCTTTCACCCCTAAACCACTGAACTGATTTTAATGAAATTTGGTATTGCGATAGAGTTGACCTTGAGTAAGAACATAGGATAGTTTTTATCCCAGACTTTTGAAACGTTCTCTTGGAAACGCGACAAAACCGAACAGCACGCGAGCGAATCTGCGGGCGGAAAGCTAGTTATGTATAATTTTAACCAGTTCAAAGTCGGTGCGAGGTCATATACTGTCACGACATTCACGGAGACGAAAATTAATTTACCTTCACTCATAATCTCTTACATTTAATTTTAATACAAACTAATTAATTAAATATATAAAAATATCGTTTTAGATGTTAATCCAAAAAAGTAATTATATTGTATCTTTCATTTATTGAAAAATGATTTTTATCTGTACTAATAGGACATTTGAATCGATTTAAAATGTTCAAATAATATTAAATTACATAATTACGAATAATAATAATATACAAGCTCTCTTTGATACTATATTAAACCTTCAATCACTCTGAATTTGTCACATTTAATTCAATTTTTTCTACAACACAAAGGTAATGCGTCAATAACATCCGGGAATGCCAATGTTTACGTGTCACACGACCAGCTTCAAGCTGAAAGCCATTCAAGGTTCAGCGAGAGGCACATACCTTCTGACTCAAGTTTTTGAATCTACAACCTTATTATGCTAGCTCAGTGCATGCGTTGTATAAAGGATTGTAATTAAATAATACTATATAAGACTAACTTGATCATGGCTTTTTGTTTTACGTCAATTAAAAAAATATATTTGACGTTTAGTCCGCCATGTTGTTTGTCAATATTGCCATATAACTAAATTGAATTCTTACTCACTCGTAAGATGACTCCAAGGATATTTAAATATTGCACAACAGTAATTGAATACAATTGAAAAGATAATATAATTAAATAGGAATTTTGATTGCCAAACCGAGTGGGTTCCATCGCGGTTTAGCAAAAACAATCGAAATCCTCTCCCACGCGGATCAACGCACACTTATTCCGTATTTGCTATGACTAATATTCTGACAACTTAATATTTTTCTTATATAATATCAAACATAGACGCCATGTTGATTTATTCAAAATGGCGTCAGAAATGTAGCATAAACAATACATACTTTCACTGTTATTTCTTGCAGTTGCAAAAAATTATATGACAACAAGTAAAATAATGTTAAAAATAAAGCAACAAATAGTTGCAATTGTATTCAGATAGGAGAGCGTTTCGTAAACTCGCGGCCGACATTATTGGAATTACCTAATATCAACTGCAACGGTCTGGTCTGAATCTTTATTTAGCCATTTGTATTTTGACCGCTCGCAGACCAAGGTTCATGCAAATCTCCACCTTATGGCCTTCAGAGAACACCCATTGAATTCAAATTAACCAGAACAAGGGCTATGCAGTGCTTTAAGAAGCAATTTGCCTCGCATACGAAATAAAGCAAGAGAAATTCTGTTTACCGAGTGTCTAAATCATTGTAACAGGATAACGTCGAGATATAACAATGGCTTTTTTACACGTTTACCTCAAAGTCAATTTAATTGATATTCTCGGAGGTAAAGACTTGTATGTATGTATGGACTTTTATTTATCTTTAATCTATTCCACGGTGGCCACATCATGGCGTTTTCCTGATTTACAAATGAACCATCGGTATTTCCGTCACGTCATCAAAAGACCATCAGGTGTCGTTAGGACACGGGAAGCCCTCAGGCTGAAACAGATAAAAAAACATCAATGAATATAGAAAAATAAAGATATATTTGCATATCATAAAATTAAAAGTCTCTATCGTTGTCTCATATCTCTTATTATATAATATTTGTAATAAATTATATTTTTTTAGTTATAAAATATAACCCAAAAGTAAAATAAAAAAATCGTTATGAAAGTCGATTTTATTTAAATATATAATATCTTTGGAATGAATGAAACAATACTTCCCCTCATTAATTGCAAGAAAAAGTGCATTGCATAACGCCTTGTTCTATTTTTACGGATAGCAACACCGTGTAATGTCCGCATTGAAACAATTACCTAATTATTAATCGTTTGGTTCTTGATTTTCGTAACATTTTTCTTAAATAGACAAATTGTTACCAAGGCTTTATATTTATAGAGCGTGATTCACGCCGCTTGGAGGCTGTGTACTTTCACGATGTAGGTATTCATATTAAAGTGTCTAAGCATGACGTTTATCAACACGACACATCTGAAATACAACTGGCCACACGTATTTAAACTTATATAGACTTAAAAGATTAAAATAATTATATTTATTTAAAAAAAACAATCATTTAAAATGAAAACTAAAAAATATTTTTTCTTAGAGCTAAATTTTATTGTTGAACTGTAATTTCTTTTTTTGACACTTCAACTTTTCCCGCCAACAGACGAATAATGGTATATTTATACATTTTCATAATAAATAAAAGGAGTTATTATATATTAAAAATTAATAATAAAATCTTTCATATGTCTGAACTGTGTAAAACAAGATAAATAAAAAGTGACTAGTGAGACGTAACTGTAAGGCACATTTACTGAGCAAAAAGTTATCTTCAAAGGCTGAAGTAAAAAGACGTTCGTCTATTCCAGTTCATTCATTTAGCCTGCGGGAATTCATAGACGTAACATTGTTCCAAGTATCAAAAGTGTTTTTATAATAACTTCTATATCATCTATCTATAGATTTCTATCTATCTATAATTTAAAATAGCATTTCGTGAATATACATGTCAAATATGAAATATATTTTGTATCAGTACAATGTCTGATTATTTCAAAAGTTTAAAGAGATTTTCGAATGAATTTAACAACCAAAAATAATAAAAAAAACGAGTAGTATATCCCAAATATTTGTCTTATTTAAATGAATACTGGCGAAAGTCTTAGATCTTATTATATTTATTAAAATGAAAGATATTGCACCAAAACATTTTATGAATGGAGGCAATGTCTCGTTTAATGCTTGAATGAACTACTGTTCTGTTTGATGATGGAGTAATACTTAATTGAAGAAACCTTTTCATGACATTTAGAACAGCACGTGCTTATGTAAGAAATATTTGAAGAGGCATTGTCTTATAGATTACTGACGGCAGCAAAAATGCGTATATTAAAAATAATATTTTCAAAGTTATTATTTATTGTGATAGATTAAAAAAAAACAATAGAAAGTGCGATTGTTTTTTTCTTAAAAGTTTAAAACGTATTTTAACGATATATCTTGCATTTTGATTAGTTTGATTTTTCTATATCTGTATATGTGTATGTGTGTGTGTGAGTTTGTATGTGTGTGTGTGTGTGTGACTTTTGAATAAAATTCAAAATCAAGACAAACCAATAAAATAAAAATGGTTATTTTAAACCAAATCAATAATAAAAATTCTTGAACGTATATCACAAATGTTGTTCCCTGATGAATTATTTTGATATAAGTGATGAAAAAACTCTATACACATAATTATGAAGTTAATAATCGTTCTCTGAATGTATTGTGGTGCTTGTATATTATACTTTTAGCATGAAGTCACTCTTGTTGAAAATATTTATATACAGTATGTTGATATTTTAATAAATTTCATCTAACAATGAAATGTTCTATTACAATGAAATACTAAGGTAATTTTTTTTTGGCTTTTCGGAAAAAAATAAATAAAAAGTAGTAATATATGAATAATAATGAAATTAGCAGTGACGTCATAATTTATACAAAAAATCGATTTATGAAAACAGAAATTACGATGAAAATATTTATAGGTAAATTATATTTTTAATTACGGAAAATATAATTAAAATAATAATAATTGTTTTACATTCCCCTGTAGATGACAATACCAACAATTATTGTTTACATGACTGTTGTCTTCGTCATCTGAAACTGAAGACGCCTGGTCGTCAAACCGGGCGAGAGTATACGCCACTATTACGAATAAAACATCGCGGAAATGATATACAATAAATAAAATTATATACACAAGTCCATGGGACGTAAAGGTGGTATCCGTACGTTATGTGAGTGAGAGAAAATATGCCGGGCGGCGGGAATCTAGTTAGGAGCGAAAGGTATAGGAAAACGCCGCGGACCCCAAGGTCGACGCACGCGACTTACTACTACACGCGATCCTTGGTTTTAGGATCGCCGGTAAAAAAACGTTATAAGAGCCCCAGGACAAGGTGAGATATAGAAACACGATATACAAACAAACAGACTGATAAAAATATTATAACTATTATTAAAAAGAAATTCAAAATAACCTACTTTTAGACTTGGATTTTCTGTTACTTCTTTTATAATAAGCATATCTTTATTAAGAAAGTTCTTAAATTTGTATATTTCTTTAGTGTTCATTCTTAATGCATTATTTACGCATTCGTTGAATTGATGGTGAATTATAAATACGCTTGTGTTTGTCAATAACTTAGTATGTTCTTTTCTTATAAATTGTCCACATAAGTACATGTTACATTGGAAAACCGTATATTTTATTGACATATAAAGACAGTTACACGTACAGAATTAAATATATTTGTTGAATATATTTACGATATCATAAGTTATACAAATCAAATTAATCTCAATAGGTTTTTTTCTATTCTATTTCGGATGCAAAAATATGGAATTAAAATCTAATTATTAATCACTTTAAAGGCAATTTCGAGTTTAATTTGAATGTTATAAGTAATTGCCAAATCTTATACAGTTTTATATTGTCAAAGGAAATGTCCAATGTCCATTTCTTGAGAGTATAATCAATTCCGATTGCAGTCTCCATTTAATCGCACAATCAACAAACACCTTCAGTCAAGGGCGACCGCTGTATAATTACTGTTTATAGTTATAAATTACATATAAATTGTACGTATGTAGTAAACAATAATGAATAGGTGAATACGTTTTCTATCATGACCTTACCAGATATATTCTTACTTTAATTGACTTGAAGATACTTTAATACTACTGTTTATATACCTTAAACGTTATTATTTTTAAATATTAGTTTAATTTTATCATCTAATACAATAAAACCTCCTTTTATGATTTATCATTTTAAAAATATTCTTTTAAACCATTCTAAATTATCTAATTAAACTACAATTTTTCGGATTACACTACGTGGCTTTATTATTGTAAAAAAAATAAAGTAGCGTAGTAATGTAATCCGAAAAAAAAAATCATTTAAATGAATAAAACTCGCGAAAATCCTAAATATCATTACGTTCTAAGATTGTTTTAGAAAAAACTATATACCCAGTATAATAATACTATAATATTTGCTTAGAATTCCTATAAAAGAATTCGAAACATTCGGAAAAACAGTAATGCTAAGCCGTCAAGTAAAAGGTGGCTAGCCTCGGTTATTGAGTGTAAGGACGTCTGTGGACTGTGCAAGCGTTTATGTACCCTAAATACAACGTAATAATGTCCTTATTTATGTACACCAAACGAATTATGATCATTATTTATGTAAACCAAATCTAATTTATATTATTTTTTCATTTATTTTAAATTTCTATTGAAATTATTCGTGGTTTTATAAGAATTGTTATTGAGGTATTCAAATCTTTTTTTTTTCTTGTGTTAATTAAAGTTATATATTTTAATTTATTGCGTGAATTTTTTATTGGATATAATTCTTATTGTAGTACTAGGAAAGGGACCACAGCTTCTTATGACTTTCCCAATAAATATATCAAGCTTTCTTTGTGAAGCTAAATCGTGTATCTTAACTTGATTAATTACAAACGTTTTTGTTTTTTACGTAAGTAATATAGACTTAATAATTGCATTTAAATTAGCAACAAACAAATCAATGCACGTAGTATTTGCGCCTGCAACTTCCGGGATATCAGCTCCCAGTTGCATTACTAAACAACCTTAAACCTACCGAGCCCTTTTTAGTTCCTTTGTGAAATAATTGAATATCTTTATTTTATCATTTGGAAATTTAAATTTAACTAGGCCCAAAAAGAAAAATTTCAATGTTTGTAATCTGTAAACTTTCATGTAACACCGATCGAAGTATTTGCCAGCAATGCGCCAAGGCGTAATGAAAGCCAGTCTAGATTATTCAACTTATAAACGACTTAAAGAACAAGTTTCCCAATAAGTACACACTGAGGCTAAGAAACCCGAAGGTTTTTTTAAATTAAAAGAAACTCTTATACTTTAAACGAGATAATTAAGTTTAACATTTGTCGTTTTTATAAAACTTCATCATCATCAGCCTATCAGAGCCCACTGCTGATCGAAGGCCTCTTTGTCACATTATTGACTACCCTTGCTCAAGACAGGTGATTCCAAACTTATAATTTGTACATAATTATTAAGTCCTGGTTTCCTCACGAGGTTTTCTCTTCACCGTCTGTCAGTGGTGTCTAAATACCCACACTTTTTACTTGCCATAATAACTTGTCTAATTTTACTTGCCATATTTTGAACCCGCGTCCTCATGCACGAGAGGTGGGCCTTTTAACATCTAGGCCACCATGACTTACAATTATTATCAAAAAAACTTATATTGATATTTTTGTTGCAGATGTCAGTCCGCTCCAAAAGTAATGGATAGTCACAGTAGATCGGCGTCCCCCCGGGACTCCGCGAGGCCGCAGCATCGTCCACCATCGCCGCCAGCTTCCCCTGGTGCCTTCGACAACCGAGCCTACCAACACGACGAGTCAGATCCCAACCACAATGACTCCTTCACCTCCAACGGACCACATCAAAACGGTCACAGCAAGGAGCCGAACGGAGACACGAAAACCTTAGAAGCCGTCAACCTAGAACTGATAAACCTGACACCCAAGAACGGTGCCAAGAAAAAGGATGTGGAAGTCGATATGAACTCCACCAACCCCTACGACGAATATTTCGTGCCGGTCAACGAGCACAGGAAATATATGAGGTTTGTGGTCTTCATTGTTTCAGCTTTATTAACTATTGTTTGAGATTTACGGTCCAAAATGAGAATTAAATCAATATATAGAGGTTATAAACACGCTAAGGAGTTAGTATTGAGTTCATCAAATCAATATCTCTGAGTCTGAAGCTCTCAAAAGAACCGCTATGCAATCTAACCCTAAATTGGTGTACCAGTTAACAATCACGCCTAGTCCAAGTTTGGATGGTCAAACATCATTCGAAAAGTTTCCCGTTTCTCATTCAATAACCTATAATATGTCGAGGTGTATGAATCAAACTGTTAACGCTGCGTGTGCGGTGTGAGTATGCAAACTCATACTAAGCCTACCGATGTTTATCTATTACTGTTACCGTTTTATAACCAACGCCAACAATATAATTGTCTAAGTCATCGTCGATCTTAATTTATAGATACAGTTTCACTATTAGCGGAACATGAGATAAGTTTTAATGGGATAGCTGAACGCTATTTATTACGTAATTAATTTCTCTACTAATATCATAAACACGGAAGGTTGCATGTATTGATGGATGGATGTACGGTTGTTTATCTTTTCACTATAAAACAACTGAATGGGTTTTCATAAAACTTTACGATTTTATAGCTCATATAATAGAATAGTGTATAGGCTCTACTTAATACCGATATTTCCTTAATTTGGGGATGACAGGGATTCAACAACATATTTTGTCAAAATATAAACTTGATACAAAAGATAAATAGCGCTGACCACCCTACTAGCTAATTGCAACCTAAACCTGTCTATTAATTAACATATATACTTTAATCTAATCGCTTAGGCAGTAATTAGGTAGTAATACACACTATTAGTCTCTTCCTAAACCAAATTACGAAGTCCAAACGAAATAAGACACAGAAAAAAACTAGTTAGAAATCTTTAATTGGACTAGCTGAACGACTTTGCTTACGTAAATAATTTTATGCAAATATTTGCAACCTGGCAGCTAATTGTCTCTGATTCTATCATTTCTATTCCAAGCTAAGGCTATAGTTGGAAAGTATAGTCTAGTACTAGATTGTCACCAACAAAATGCGGTTAACATTACACAATAATTCAATGGACTATACTGTGTTTTTTCATCCATATAATTTAAAATGCTCCATTATAAACGTAATTATTACATTCGTGCTATAAGAAAACATTAATAACAATACTTTTTGTCACTATTCAATTATTATTTTAGTGGAAATATTAATTAATATGTGATATATTATAAAATGGACACAGTAATCCAATCTCCGTCACTTCCCCCACTGGCCTCGTTCCGATATTAAGATTCAAATAGTTATATCACACAAGATGACCTTGTCTAGTTGTCAACCGCGGTTTGCCTTAAAATACACATTTAACGGCTTGTGAATTTTAATCACTTACTCACCAAAGCTCTATGGAACTGGAATTGATGTCCACTTATTACCATAACAGGCCCATTTGTCCACCTCGTGTTGTGTTTTTCAAAATATATTTTAAATTCCATATAAATAATATAATTTATACATAAAATCTAATAATATATACTATAAATTGTAAATAGTTTAGGAGGCAGAATCTTGTACAATCAAATTCGGATAACCTTGTATTTCTTTAACATTCGCTTTTTGAAGTAAAAATGAAACTACCATAAAATTTTTAGTTTTCATCAATACCAGAAAGTAATCTTTCGCAAATAACTTAATATACTACTAAAAATATAATATATAATTGATATTTAAAAAAACTGTGTTGTGCTTTGAGTGTTACTTTTATGTACACTTTTCGTATACTATTAGGTTAACATCTATAGAAATAACAATTTCTACATATATTTGTTACTACGAGAACCTTCTTTATAAAAAAATATATTCGAATAATTAAAATATAATAATTATAAACAGTAACATTGACTTTCATAAAAAGTAAGGATTAAGTACTTCTTTAAAAGTTATTTTCTTCCCTTATATACATGATCTCAGTAAATATTTGTTTGAGTCATAATGATCTTAGTTTAAAATAGTTATCCATATCACTTCACTAACTACTAATTACTAACAATTAACCAAAAATGTGTTTTGGTTACGGAATGTTCTAAAAGACTAAACATCCTTTTTAAGTTTTAATATCAATTACTACTAATATTTATGAACAAGAAGTAGTAAGTTAGTACATCACTTTGTAAATACTACTATTTATTCACGATAATGTAGTTTTTTTGGATTCATTGCATTTGAATTCAATTTTATTTTCGAAATGATATTTAGTTTAGTCATAGTTAGTTAGTTTCATAAAGTTACTGATAGTATAATATGATTGGTCATAATACTTGAGAAATTATGATTTTCTATTTAAATCCTAATCAGCCAATGACAGAAATTTCAGAATTATATTATCTGTGTATAGAAAACTAACTTATTTTCTGTGTTCCTTTAAATCTTTTGATAATTGTAAGTTAATTGTGTATGTTTAAAATTTAAATATACAAACTCATTTTCTTAATTACAGTACGAGTGAGTCTAATGAGGTCGTATAGCCAGTTACCCTAATAAGTATGTTAAAACACTCAATTTAAAATACTGAACTTACGATTTTGGCATTCAATATTTGGAAACAAGTTACTTAGATAAATATCAATTAGTACTGAAAATTCTATAATAACTAACGAAAACAAGCACTTTATTTTTGAATATATTATTGAATATATAATTTCGTATATGCAAATTACTTCTCACTTAATATTTAATTTCAAATCACGTACTTCAACGCTGATTCAGGTTAAACCGTACGCAATTGTTTAGTGACAAACCAGCAAAGAAGTTCGAAAAAAGCAATCCATAAAGTAAATTAGGAGAATGTGTTAAACTTGAAGTATATTGTTAAAACAATAGTACCGAAAACGGTATTTTAAGATGAACAAAATAGCTCACACGGTTTACTATACGTGAAATTTCTAATTTTTTAATATAAGCTTTACACACTACTTCGCCTGCGCTTTCGAATACTATAAATAATAACGAAAATATAAAAAAACTTTGCAAAATAATCTTAAATTTCTTGTATAGATACTAATTTAAAAATTTAGACCTAATTTTATCTCCAACAAAGAGTAGGATATAAGGATTTAAAATAATCTCTATTATAAATCAAGTGTGCAAGATCGCTTAGCTCCTGAGCTATTTAAAACTACGTGAAAGCTGATGAATATTCATTGCCAGAACAAAGCACAAAGGAACGTCGCGTCGGCTGAAAGAAATTCAAAACAATGAGGCTAGGACACAATAACGACGAAAACAACTAACAGCACATTCTCTGCATATAACAACTTTGATTTCATCACCATTCAATACTACTTTAACAAATAATATATACATATACAGGGTGACTGGTGAATTACTATCGATATTTGAGGACGTGATATTTGACGATCATATATGACAAAATAAAAATTAATATAACATAAATATTAATAAACTTCTAAGTAAAGTTAACCAAAAGTTGTGTAATTAATTACGCATCGTGTGAACACCCTACAGATTAGGTATACACTCACACTCACACATACGCGTGTCGCGACGTAGTGTTGTATCCGCACGCCGCCGCACGCCTCCACACTTGAACACTTGGAACGTATCCACACTTTATTTATTTATACGGAAATTTTGTCAAAAATTAAGTACCTATTTTTTTACATAATTTGAATGAGAATCATGTACCGAGTATTCTCCTTAAATATTGATAGTAATTCACCAGTCACCCTGTATATATATATTACCTCCATCGATAGTTAGTTTGGCACAAATAATTTTAAAAGTATCCAATCGTAATGTTCTAATACAATAATATATGTATATGTACACATTTACAAAGCACCGTGACTTATGTATAATCTCGCCACACTCGTAACTGTGATGCAATGTACACTCTCATTCATGAATGTCAAATTGCTCAATGAAAACTCAATGGTATAATGGATCTGACTTACAAAACAGATCAATCACTTTCACGATGGAATCATACTTCTTAGACCTTTAGGCCTGAACCATACGTAGCTTTTTAGATACTTTTTTAAACGTCCAATGCGTTTCTAAGGCCGGACAGACCGGACATTTTCTCAATAACCAATGACAGGATAATGCCAGTAATATTATCCTGCTTGTAATTAATAAAAAGACGTTTAGAAATCTATTTAACTGTAATCGTATTTTCATTGAACAACCTTCAGATGTCGGTTTTCAAACCAAATCTTTTAATGCATAGTTAATTAATTTGATTAATTGAATGTATTAAAGGAAGGATATGCCGTTTTACGCCAGCGAACAAAGTTTATAATTACTAAATTTAAGGGGAAATCTACGATTTTACGTAATAACGAAGACTGGAATGACATTCTAAAATATTTAGAAGCATTTATTCCATTCTAGGCAGACATTTTTCTGGACTTTGCTGAATAAAATAGTCGAGTAAAATATAGTATACATATTACTCTCTGAAGCCACCAACGAAGATACTAAATAAAGGGTCATGTCCACACCTTTGAAGCCAGAACCTTTGTGGTACCGTACGGGAACAATACGGGTCAATAACCCCGAGGCTGGGTACATTTATTATAACATGTAGTTGTCTCTTTCCATATCCTTTCACGTCCATTATATTCTAAAAGATAGAAAGAGAAAGGTGAATTTCGCATTTCATTAAGGAAGTATAAACGTACCAACTCCTTGCGTACTTCATTTGATGACAGAAATAAATATGTAATATTTGATTTTCTAATATAACTGCAATAAAATATCAATGACTAATAAAAAATATATAATAATTATCGATCAGAATAATGTTTTACAATTTCTTTCGTAACTGATTTTATATAAACAGTTTACAATCCTCTAAGACGTAGTTTCTTTAATACCAATTGTCTTATTTTTACTTCTAATTCATTTTTAATGTAATATCTTTTGTTTTTATTATTTTTATTAATATTATAACACGTACACGACAAGTATAAGAATTGTATCTTTATAGCATATAAAGAATAATTTTATTTGTATAGGTGGATTAAAGCGTTCAGTCAGCACATTGATTTCCACAAAAGGTGTTAAATAACTCTACAGACGGACTTTAAAAGTACATTTAATTTTGTACTCTATGCCTAATAGTTAAAATTCTTTTTTATTTGATAAGAACGATGCTTATTGTTACATCTGTAATATGAAACCGTATGTAGATGGAATTTTCGGTGAATTTATTATATCTATGTTATTAGTCGGGTTGCTTGTGACCAGTTATTAATTAATATATACAATTATTATTATCTTTAATCAGTTTAGAAGATTAAGACTATTATTTCTAAGTGTAATAATGGAACAGACTCCGAAGGAGATAGAAAAACTACTTAATATATCTGAAGAGTTGAAGTCAAAAGATGTGGAAAAGTGTGTTCAGCTAAAGTTACTATGTGTATTATAATAAATAAATTACAGTTCTTGAAAGATTTAAGTATATATAGTGTTAGAACTGTCGAGATATATTAATAATGTTTAATTTTAACACCAATTTGTGAACGAATTGTAAAAGATACCAAGCGTTTTGGATTTTAATTCTTTTAATAACCGATCTATACTTTAATACTTATTCAATCAGTTTAATATATATATCTGAGTGGGTGATCTTCTTTATTTATATAACTCTAAATCTCGACAGACAATCAAAAACATTTAAATGTGCACACAACGTAAACTATAACCTAATTTTGAACATGTTTTAATCATAGTGAATACGTGTATATTTCTATATTGATGAGTGTGATTGTGATATTTTCAGAGGTGAAAAGTTATACGTGACTGCGGACAAGCGAGGTGAGAAGGGAGGCTGTAAACGACCGCTCTGTTGGACGCTACTTGGGCTGATTGTTGCGGCCATAGTGGCTCTCATTGTTTTAGCAGCAAGTAAGTTTATTTATCATAAGTACTTATTAAATCACGCGACTTTGCATGTTCAAATCTACTAGATGACAATTTGGTTAAGTTTAATATTGCCTGTTTTATATAAAAACATGTGAACATACTTCGTATTTGTAATATTAATAGTATGTACTTCGTATTTATAGCAGCAAATTAGTTCTTTTATTCTTTACTAAAACTTATTAGATCCCGCGACTTTGAATGCTTGTTCAGACCTAAGTACTAGATGAGAATTAGTGCCTGTGTTCATTTATAAAAATATGTGAAAATGCTTCATATTTGTAATATTAATAGTAGTTGGTCTCAAAGATTAGATTTGCTCTTGAGTTTGCATCTAGCTAGTCATAGTACCATTTTTATATCTAATTTATATCCAACCGTTAAGACTTATATTCGTTTCTATCGCTGAATAGACATGCTCTATATACTAAGACTTGGACCGTGAGACCAGGAAACCTCACTATATCATATTTATAACAATTTTTCAACTACATAATATATCATTCTTTTATAGTAGTAGTTTATATAACATTTTCGTTTATGCATATTTAAATGAATCTAAGTTTCGGATAGCTACATGTTTTTCCTTTTTTGATTTCTGCATTCACCCGACGTTTTGAATTCTTTTCAGCAACATTGATTAAGACTAAGAGTAATACAGAAGTTAAATAGTATATAATCGTATTTAAAAATCCTTAGAACTTTATTTCATTTACAAGTAGTTATAATATGATTTTGTTATAGTAAAATAAATATAGTTTTTAATAATTTACACGTTATTTTTTCAGCTGGAATACTATTTTCAAATTCTCCGACCGCTCTCGAACCTTACAACTCATCTGTGAGTTCAGCGCGCGCTTTCAGCGGCATCACACACGTCCACAGTCACGATCATGATCACAACCATGATCACGACCATGACCACAACCACGACCACAGCCACGACCACGACGACCAAGGCCGCAACGAACAACCGACCACACCAGCCTTTGGAACGCAAAGTGACGAAGCTCAGGAACCTTCTATATCTGGAGAGAGCGGTGATATGTCCATATACAGTAAGTACATATTGAATTCAAAATACATTCATATATCATCTAAATATCACATTATATCTTATTTTATAAACCTAAACTAATAAAATCAAATAACTTTACAGTACCAAAAACTGTAGAAGGAGAACTGAGAATCGATAATGAAGTATTCACGCCTGCATTAGAAGACCCCGAGAGTGACGAGTACAGAGACTTTAAAGCCAACTTCGGCGACGCTCTCAAACACGCATTGTTCAACAGGAACAGTTTAGAGAACGGTGACAACGAGATAATGGTTGAAGTTGTTCAGATAAGGTCAGTTAAACATCCATAATATAATTACTTTAACCATTCAAACAAACACTCATTGTATACCATTAATTTCAGAAACGGCTCAATTATAGTCACATATAGAATACATTGGATTCCAAAACACAATTCGGAACAGAAGACCGAAGAACTTTTGACACCGAACATTTTGAAAACAAAACTGGACAATTATCTAAATGAGAACCACAGAATGATAAGCGTCTATCATGTTGCTGAAGAGAATTTATCGACGACACAGGTCCTTGACTTGTGTAAAATAAACAACAATGACTGCGAATACAAATGTGAATTTGACGAAGCCACCTTAGAGTTCAATTGTATATGTCCGCCTGGTCAAATAATAGATATCAATTCACCAAAAAAGTGCGTGGCTCTACTTTATAACTCTGAACGACAAAATAAACCTGAAATAACCACAGCGAGAATGGCCTCTCTGGAACCGAATGTTAATACTATGGGATCTTCCGCTGAAGAAGAAAAATCGGAATCCGAACACGACATGGAAAATACATATGATTGGAAAGACGATCGCCAAATGATAGCGCAAACATCTCCTAAAGCCGACACCGATTTGAACTTTTCTCATCTATTCGGTCAATCTGATTCAGAAACACCGAAACCAGAACCTGAACCGTCAGCAGATGAAGTTAAACCGGAGCCTGAACCTGAGCCCGCACAATCAAATCCTGCTCCCGAACCAATACCAGAAATCAAACCGCAACCTGAACCGCAACCCGAACCTGAGCCCACCTCTGAGCCGGAACCTGAACCTACAGCAGAACCAAAACCTGAACCAGAGCCTGAACCCTCGTCAGAACCAAAACCTGAGCCAGAACCTCAACCTCAACCTGAACCAGAGCCTGAACCTCAACCCGAACCAAAGCCAGAACCTGAACCAGAACCTACGTCAGAACCACAACCTGAACCTCCATCTCAAACAAGCCTTGTTCCGACAGTAGTACCAGAACCTAACCCAATCACAGGAATTAATACCCAAGCAGAACCTGAGCCTACAATGATGTTCAATTCCGAGCCAAGTTCAATTCCAAAATTTGATGTAGAACCAGAAGTTACAACAGACAACATGCAAAATATGAGAAGTATAGATGAAATCTATAACTCTCATGAAGTTACTACTATGGCGATGCCTGATGCAGGTAAAACACTAGCACCTCTTACAAGTGACGAAATCTCTTCAATTCTTAAGCAAAATGAAGAATCTGCATCTATGACCGAAAATGACCAACGAAGTTCAGACCATTCAACGTTTGATTTAGACAGCATCATTGGACTTAATTCTAATGAGTCAAGTCAGACATCGAACAACGAACCTGCAACTGAAACTAATGCTGAAATAATTCCAGTGACAATAAACAGTAATAAAAACGAAATGGCTGAAAGCATTCCAATGACGACCACCATGAAAACAATTTTAGACACAAAAATGATTGGTGAAGATTCGAATGGATTAAAAATGAATATTGCTTTAGGCTCAAACGAAGCTGAACCATCAAGTGCTACTGAATTTAATATTAATAATTATACAGTCAGCGACAATGAATGGCTTGAATATGACGATAATAATAAGTCAACACCCTCAATTGATATGAATTCTGAAGTTAACAAAGAAATGGAATCACAAATGCAAACTGAAATGAATAACGAACAAATCACTAAAACCGAACCGAGATCTTCTAAAGCGTTTGGGGATTTTATGTATGAAACCACAACCGAGAAAATGAGCGAAATGGACAATGATGATATAACATTCGACCTCATAAAGAAAAATGGTGAAACGCTCGAAATGGAAACTACTCCTTTGACGGATATGGAAAATCAACAACCTACAGAAAATATGCTTGATATTATTGGTATAAAGGCCGATGACATGGCAAGTAAAAGCAGTGTAGAAACAACAACACCTCAGAATATTGTTAAAAGTGAAACGTACAAACCAACGACAGAAGTCGAGCCTGTAATCCTTAAGGAAATGGGATATGGTCTAACCACTGAATCGAATATACAAACAAGTCCTGAAAATAAAGTAACAGTAGATTTGCCGACACAGGATAAAGAAATACTCAACACAAACACGGAACCCATCGAAACAACAACAGCTAAAATGGAATTGAATCAAGCTTTTTCATTAAATGAACAAAATAAAAACACCAAAGAAGATAAAGAATTAATAGAGGCGTTAGAAATAACGACAGCTTCAACTGATGAACCTGAAGAATCAACTACAAAAAGAAGTGCATCAGATGAAAGCACCGATGTAACTTTTGACACTATTAGTCTGCTTTATAACCGTTCTTCGAAATCAATGGATGATAAAGAGAACACTGCCACTGAAGTGACTATTTCGAATGATATTCTAAGCTCCTCCGGGGAAACTTCTACGGATTCTGATTGGCTATCTGAATCAGTGACAGAAATGAACTACGAAGAACTTGTTAATAAAATGAACTCACCCGTCACAACAGAAATTCCACATGTTAAAGGAGACGATAACATGAGCCGAGGTGTCAACAAGGACGACTTTGAACCGGATTACTTAAATATTGGCTCTAAATCGAATAAAATGTCTGACCACGAGGAACCTTTATATGGAATGATAACTGACTATGATTCTGAAGACTCGAGAGTCAAAAGAGTGAACATGGCTGGCAAAGAGAATAAAACTACTCCCATAGAAAAAACTATGACATTAAATGCCTCTCAAATTACTGTCTTCGAAACAACAACAGTAAGTCAGTACATTTACAAAGCAGCTGGCAACAGTTCCAAAGAAGAAGATATCCAGTCTATTGTTTCGTCTCCAGCTCCCGTTTGGGAAGAAACAGAAGTAGAAAACCAAACAACAATGTCACCATCATCGTCTCAAGAAACAAACGAAAGTATCCAACAAAATGTTGATACAAATATCACATTAACAACAACACCCGTACCATTTGCAACAACACCTTCAAATAATGATCAGAATAATTCTGAAAGCGAATTAAACCAAGATGAAATGATCGATTCGAACGCTCAAAATACAACTCTAGTGAATAACTTAAACGTAACGATATACGAAATATCTAACACTACTGACAATCAGTCGTTTGTATCCACTAACCCTAACAATCCATTACAATCTGATATCATATCTCATATTGATCACGAAACAGATATGAATCCATTCTTACCCGAGGCGGAAAACAATAAAATTCTCGTGAAAAAACTCCAAGAAGGTCATGATATAGAACCGACTAATGTAAACGAAACACAGAACGAAAGTGTTGATGATCATAATACGAACACTTCAAACGTTGCTGCTATGGAACCGAAACAATCTGTAGAAGAAACTGCGCAGATGAATGATCTTAATGTTATTGGTGTTAAACCAGAGACTACAACACCTGCAACGGCTGCAAGTCCCGAAGACGATCTTATATTTAATCATCTGTACACAAACAGTGTATCTCGCGATGAAGCTTTCACTACAGAAACAAATAAACCAGTTGAAGACGCACCAACTCCAGAAGAGAGTAAGGAAGTTTTGCCTATTTCAACATTCCTGTTAGACACAGACGATTTGGACGTCACAAAAACACCACCATCTTCAGCGGAAAACGATTTAAAAAGTAGGGCTAGCATTGACGTCACGAGTTCAAAGTCCAATGAAGATGTCAACCAATTTCTAAATATCGTACCCATAGAACCTGAGAAAAGTAACGAAGCACTGAACAAAAACTTAAATTCCGAGAGCATCCAAGAACTAAACGACATCAGTGACTCACCAAAGAAAAGCGACAGGACGATAGATGTTAACAATTTGGAAGCTAGATACTTTTAAATAATACAGTGTATATTGTCACTCCCTATCCTGTGATTATCATATGATTCACTAAACCAGCTAACAGTATGTATTACCAATGTAAATCCTTACCTACATGTTAAGTAAGTGTCTATAAACTAAATATCCAAATGGTTCTAAGATTATTAATAATACTAAAGATATTTTACCTTTATTCATAATAATTACTTTTAGACTAGTCAAATTAGGAACATAAATTCATAAACAAGAAGAATCTAGATTATTTATTGCTTCATAATTAAGACGATCATTGAATTCTGTTACACATGTGTTTTTTTTTTAAATTGTTACCATAGTTAAATATATTTTAATGACATTTTCGTATCATCGATTTTAACTGACCTGATTGGACTTTGAACGGGACATAATTATTGTAATATATTATTTAGATATATGTTATTATATAGTATTATAAGAACAACACTATATCCGTGCCGTAATGTGATACTTCAGAATTATGAAATGGCATTCCATTTTTGTTAATAAACATATTATAAGTGATATATAAACAAAAGTGAGGTATGATTGTAAAATATTTGTTAACTAAGATATATTTTGTATAATATGGTTGAAAATGTAGAGGTATGTTGTAAATAAAAATAATTTTAATATTATATAACATATATTATTTTATTTAATCACATCACATCACAGACCGTTGAACTATACTATATAAATCGTTCTTAATTTAAAATATTACTATGGCATATTTTTTTTAATTCTTAAATCAAATATAGAACCTTTTTACATGTGAGGTTTTATATTCATACTGTAGATGTTATTGGTCTTGGTGTAATTTCATCTATTTCTTGTTCGATAGCTTCTTGTTCATTGAGGGCCATCTTCGCACAGAGACATCCTTCACTGATGGTGCCATCACCACTCACTATGCAGCCTCCTAGTACTGTTTTACAACTGTTATATGGGACCTCGTTTGTATAGAATTCCTCATTTTCTAACTTATTAGTATTAAATGCTTTGATTATATCCGTTTCTATTGTGTCCTTGAGTTTTATAACACCATTACTTCTGTATTCTATTTGTGGTAAATCTTTATCATTTCGGGGTTCACATTTAATTTCTTTAGTATTACAATCACAGGATTCACATGATACATTGCTATCTGATTGAATTCGCCTACTACCATTATTAAAATTAATAGTTCCAACCATTGAATAATAGTCAATGCTATCTGTTTTCTTTGGTATGTTTTTATATTTTTCACTACCTATAAACACGTCTAGAATGCCTTCATTTATATTTTTAAATCCTTCTTTAATTTCTTCATTATTATTATTTATATTCAAATCTTCTAAGTTAGTTAATGATTGTTTAGAGAGTATGTTCATTTGACATTTTTCTAAATGAATTGCTTGCGAAGAAAATTTAATCATATCTCCACAACCCGAACATAGTATTTCATCTGAAATAAAAAAAATTAATTGTTTTACTGTAATACTTAAAATATAACATTCTGAGAACAACTATATATATACCTGGTGACTCTTTAATGTCGGGAGTATGAGAAAAATTGCTCGTGGAATCCGAAGATGCACCATCAGCGCCTTCTGAAATAAAATAGCAATGAAATATTTCAACTTCATTCAAATTAATTTGATTGGAGAATGTTTGTACTTACTGTGTTTCATAATATGTCGTTTTCTTGCGTATTCGTCTGGAAACCATTTGATACAACCGGGTATCGTGCATGGCAACCAGGTTTCATGTGAATGTACCTTCCTATGAGCTTTGAAATGGTGGTACTGAATAAAACCTATAATAAATTTACACGCTTTAGACCTGAATAGATGAAAAATTACGAAAAAAATATTCTAGCTGCTAAAAAAATGTTTTTCTTACATAATAATTATAATTATATTCTGAGTCAATATATATTCTAATTTTAATTTGCATGAATCACAATCAGCGAGTTTCTCCCAATATGGATATATTAAAACATTCACAGTTATATGAATCACAAATAAATTGCAAGATGCGTCATTATTGACTACAGATAAATATTGGAACTTGGACTAATGGTGGTTAAAAATAGTTTTTATAAATAATATAGGAAACATTTGAAGACTATAATATATGAGAATAAATACCATTTGACTGTTTTCTTATTAGCAATGTTATAGCTGCTAAAAAACCTTATAGCAAAAGGAATAGTATATAATGGTGAGACCAAGAAACTTGCTAATCTTGGTCCACTAAATGTGTTTTTGTGTTTTGACCAAATTTTATGTATAACCCAAAAACCTTTACACCATATTATTATGCCTTTTTCGTTTTCTTTCATTTCTATGGCTCATTGGAAAGTTATTTTTAAAAGTCAACTCTAAGATCGTGAGCAATATTTATCCAAGGATGAATATTAAGATTATTATATTACCAAATATACTAAAAAAATATTGTTTTAAATAACATACATTACATATAAGCTTTGGATCTTCTACATATAAATAAAACTTTTAGAAATGAAGAAATTTTTCTTCCTGCTTTTCTGTCCAATAAAAATCGACTCACCTTTTCCACATATGTTACAATAATATTGTTTATCATCAGTATGACTGAGCTGGTGGTGTTTCAAGTGATGTATGTAGTTGAAGGTTTTTGTACATCCATCATAACTACATTTGAAGCGGCGCTCTGACCGTGGCTTGTGGCTCTTCTGATGTGATGCTAAGGCCAGGTCGCTACTGAATGTAGCTTCACATTTAGAACAAATGTATGTACCTGATAACAATTGAACATTTTGGTAATATATCAGCAAGAAATAACACAATTACTCCTACTTTTAATTTGTGTTTGGTCTCAACCCTGAAGAGTTTGAACAAAGCAAGTTATACATATAATGCTGTAACCAACTATACCTAAAACTAAGCCAAAATAGATGAGTTGAATATGTCTTTTAAAGATGAAAACAGTCAACTTTGCAACTTTTTGTTGACAAAATATGTCCCAAGAACAAAATAGAATAACTCCGTTACTTACAGGAACTTGACCACATTGATAATAATCAATATGATGGAAATACAATGTCTGTATAAAGTGTATAAAGAATATTTTACATTACAATTTAACGGACAAATTTTATAAAGCAACTTAATTATTACATAATACTTATTAAATAGAATCTACTATAGACACGTTTGTCAGAGACTAAGAAAGAAGAATTTCTTTTTTAGAGTTGAAATCCACTCGTAAATGAGAAAAATTAAAAGTAGGTTATCATCTTAACACTATTAAGCTCTAACTGAACAACAATTTGGTTACTCTTAAATGACGAACTCGCATAAAAATTGTAAGTTTGAATTTGTAGACAAATAGGTATGAGATCATATTTTTGTTTCTCCGGCAGATTCAGTCTATCAAAGGACTTATGGAAACTGTCAAAATGTTGGAGCATTCCCTAGCACATACTTCTCACAGAAATGTATACTAAGAAAATTACACTACATTATTAGGCCAAGTACTACATTAACAATTACATAGAGTTATCACGGAGATGTCACTTTAGCATGGATGGTATTTTACGTATAATAGCTTAGGTGTCGCATAGAACATGATAAGGGGACTTCTAACTTCAAAAACTGTCTGGGATATTTGTTATATGCTGTTAATTTGCAATATTTTCATCTTATCTACTAGTGATCCTAGTTACTGGAAAGTAATGAAAATATTGTGAGTATGTAGTTTTATAAAATAATAAAAAAAGTGTAATGTGTTAGGAAATCTTAGATTTATTTAAACAAATAAACGCAAAAATCTTTGAAATCATTCAGATAAAGGTTATATGTCAAGATATACCTGTGTAGGGTAAGAATATACATATTTAATTTAAAAACTAGTCAGGAACTTATTATGTGGAATGTCTGTTTAGTGGACGCTTTGATGTTCGGTGAGTATAATTCACTAATTACAACACATTACATAAAATATTTGCAATGATACCATAGTATTATAAATTACAAATCTAAAGTTTTTTTATTATATTAAGAAGCAATTCAGTTGAATAAGAAATAAAAAGCAAGTTTAAAACACAAATAATAAAATTCATATATGATGAAATATTATGTTAAATAAAACAATCTTTAAGAAAGTGTGTTAGGGCTATCACAATGTTTGAAAAACGATTACATTAAACTTACCTTTATGAGCATATTTCATGTGTCTATTTAGAAGAGTATTATCAAGAAAATATTTTCCGCACTCTGTACATTTAACACTGCCTGTCCTTTCATGCTGTTTTTGGTGCCTCTTCAAAGCAGATCTATAAAAGAAATATATTAATATGGAACAAATAAAAACTTAAATATTTTATTGATACACTAAAACATTTTTTAAATTTATAAACACCTAAGATCCTTACAGAAAACTAAACTTTTTCGAACACTTGTCGCATTCAAACTGTGGATCATGACTCTTTTCGTGTCTTTTCTTTTCACTTTCATATTTGAATTTCTTTGAACAATAGCAGCACTGCAGCATCCTGGTAAATTTACGAAAAAACTGCCCATAAAATTTATATTCAGCACTTTTTATATCTTATCAGTTTATACAAACTTTACTTTAAAAATACAAACGACAATTTTTATATTGAAACTACTTTTGAAGTTAAAAATTAAATACCAGACCAACGAAAAAAATATCTCTTAATTGTCCAATAGAAATAAATAAAAAAATTGGAACAATCATATAAAACAAACAATTATACACTAAGCCCTCCAAACTTCAATTATAAGTAATAACAAATAAGTTATAAGCTCCATTGGTTAATTATTTTGTCACTTGTCAATCAATCTACAACCGGTGACGCAATATTAAGTTACCGAGCCGTCAAGTTTAAGACTAAAATTAATGAAGCCATAGCAAATAAAAAACATTACAATGAAATTTAATTATCAAGCCTTAAAACTAAGTACACATCAATCCAAATTTGTAATTTATAAAAAACAATTTGTTAGTGACCCTCTTCATTCACGAATCCGTCTTTACATAGCTCAGTATAATAGCCGCAAAATATTAGCGAAATAAGAAAACATCAATAACTCAAAGAATAGAATATAAAGATACTTAAACTTTAATCCTCTTTATTTGTATTTTTTTTAACGTAACTAAAAAAGGCTATGATTTAGTATTTCTATGAAAATTAAGATGGTTTTCATCTGAATTCCCAATCAAATGGGTTACAGCGCTTTCCATATAAGTTAAAAATTAAAAGCTTTCTAAATAAATATAAATGATTATTGTAATCTATCCACCTTCCTCGATGTAATTTTAATATTTGAAATATCGGCTAATATTTTCGATTTCGACGTTAACATTGCAAGCTTTTATCCCGCACATTCTTATTTTATATCTCTAAGTTTCAATTTTGAAATATAATTTTAACCATGAATGTATTAGGGTTTTAAGTTCATTGAATAATATAATATGTATTAATTATAATGACCATTTTTTATACTTCTCATGGTCCGTGAATATTAACTTATATTATGTAACCTTGACATTCTGTTATAGTAAAACAATCTAATTTGTTCAACTCATTTCATACTTTTTACCATTTTTAATATTTATTAGCACACCTTACTGAAAACTATATTTTTGTTGATTTGTCAGAATAAAAGCCAACGACTTTGAAAGATTTCGAGATAGTGGGTACATGACTAATGAGGTTTTCCCATAGGACTTCATTTCTTTCGGCCTTACATCAGCCCAAAGATCCTTCAACAGTCACGAATTTCAAAGATTTTACTCAAAATAACAATATCTATACTAATATTATAAAGCTGAAGAATTTGTTTGTTTGTTTGTTTGAAAGCGCTAATCTCCGAAACTACTGGTTCGAATTGAATAATTCTTTTTGTGTTGGATAGTCCAGTTATCGAGGAAGGCTGTGGGCTATATAACATCACGCTACAACAAATAGGAGCAAAGATATAGTGGTAAAGGTGTAAAAAACGGGAGAAATTATTTCATCATTGAAGCCTTCCGTTGCGTGCGCCGTGAAAACGGTTCAAGATACACAAAAAATATGTGTTAAAGAATAATAGCTCTTTTAATGATCTAAAAAACAATCCGTTTATTCAAATAAACAAATAAATATGTTGTTGGTTAAGTGTACTTTTTTGTGAATAAAAAAAAACAAAGGTTTTATCCTGAAAATTCTACGGGAACTCGACAATTCCGAAAACCCCGCAAGAACGGGAACTATGTGGGAAGAACCAAAAATCTGCCGGAAGTCACTATTCCACGCGGACGAAGTCGCGGCAAAAAGCTAGTAGTATAATAAACCACTAGGTTCCGCCCAGTGACCTACACTGTAGAGGCCATCAGTTCCTTATATTCCTTGGGTTGAAAAGTTAATTACAAAATGCAACATTGGCTAATGTGTAATGGTAACATGGGGATCGCAAATAGTATGATAGCTTACTATGAACAAGTTTTCCTAAATCATTACCTTGACATGATTTGCGACCAGTTAGATTAGCAGAGTACGAAAACTTCGGTAGCAACTAGTTCAACAACATTTTACATACATACTTCACTATTATTTATGAGTGAGTGTAAAGGAATATTTACGAAAGTATTTACTTACTTCAACCTTTCCCAAAATTATATACGTTGAAGGATAGTGATCAAGAGCAAATGGTTACTCAAATGTTTAATTTAACATAGCCAAATCATAGATGGGACATAGTATGTCATTGTTAACCAGTTAACCACGAACGCTTATGTTTGGTCTTGAGGCTTCCAGAACTTTTTAATAAAAATAACATTACTGTAATTAGGCAACATGTGCCATGGAAAAAGAAGCCTTAAGTATGACAGAATAATGTTTATTAACACAGAAACTCTGGTTTTTCGGCTAGAATCATCTTAATCAACATTAAGCATTATCCATTTCAGAAGGGCTCTACTTGATGACGATTGCCTAGTACCTATAGAATTGACAGACGGTTTCCGCCGATTAACTTCCAGCAATTGACATAGACATGAAAAGATAGAAGGCCGATGATGATCTATGGATGAACGTGACAGCAGTCAGTAAACAGTACGTGCTAATTAAAAATACATGTTACATACGTAACTTTACGTACCTATTACTCTTTTGTAAAACCATGACATTTTCTTTCGGAAAATTAAAAACCAGCAATATTACGTAAAATGAAAATATGTGGTATTCACTTGTTGTTGTTATATAAATGTTTATTATAACTATCTCAAAAATTAATGTTAAATTAACCATCAACTCTTACGCAGAGGCAAAGGTTCGTTCTATTGAAAAAACTGGTAATATATTAAACTATTCTATTTAATACAATTAATAAACATAGATAGTTGCACAAGTGTAAAATGCATGAAATGCGGCTTCATCAGTTTAATATTAATCAGATACGAAAACATTTACGTTGTAAGACTCGTAGAAGTACGTCGCTTAAGCGGCATCGCTTTTTATATGAGCTATTAAGATAAAGCATTATGCAAGACTGGATAAAGATAACCCTCATACTATGTTCCTTTGGAATGTTGAGAGAGATTCGGCCTTCTGAGCCGTTTGTGACTGAATTCCTTCTTGGTGAATGGCGGAATATTACAGAAGATCAACTCAATCGTGAAGTTTATCCTATAGGAACTTACTCCTACCTGGCTTTACTTGTAGTTGTCTTTTTAATCACCGACTTTCTCCGTTTTAAACCAGTTATAATTCTTTCAGGTGAGCAATATTTATATGATTAAAAAACATACACATATTTAACTTTTACATTGAGTTCTATATTAAGTTTAAAAAAATCACTCATTAAAAATATATTAAACATTTTTATTCAGTTTAAAATAAAAATTTTGTGATAAATATTTAATGAGACATTGTTTAATCACTAATTGATAAGTAATCTCGTACTTCATTAAGAAAGAAATTGCATTATTTTGACAAAAACAGCATAATTAGATATAAATGGTGTTAAAGCAATTAATTGTTTGCAAAATTTGCATATTAAAATTGATTTTATTCATAGCTCTATTCATCTCAAATGAATAAATAAGTCCTTTGCTTATTTTAAGGTTAAAAAAAACGTGAAGCTTTTAAATAATTAAGAAAAATTATGAATATATGTCACCTAAATTAATTACTTAAATTAAATTTATAAAGTACATACTATTGTAATATAAGCATAGTTCGTTGTCACTATTATTAATTTTGTCTGGTATATTTACATAATGAACCAATTGAAATATATTTATAGAGAGCATAAGAATACTCATTTTATAAGAAATTCTTGTAATTATAAAAATTACATTGTACAATTTAATTTTATCTCCAATATGTACCATTGCATAAATTATATTAAAATTATTATTGTTAATAACAGTTTAGATATAAAAACATGCTCAAAGTTTAAAACTTATCAAATTTAAAATGTAAATTGGCTTATAGTTGTTCAATTCTATAGAAAATGTATTAATTAATCCCTTTATTTCTTTCAGGTATTAGTGGTATATCGGTTTATGCTGTTTTACTATGGACATCCAGTATACAATGGCTCCAAGTATCACAGTTCCTTTATGGCTTATATATGGCCACGGAAGTCGCATATTTGACATACATATATGCTAAGGTCGGAATAGTATTTAATAAAACTATATAAAATTCGTAATATATGCAATAGCTAAGTAGTAATATCTATGACAGAACCTAATATGATGAAATGGTTTACCTACACTATAGAAGCATTAATTAGCAATACTGACCAAGTGTAATCAATACACAATATGTATAATCATTAATCATTCATCTTTGTTCAATAAAATGAAATGAATACTTAAATTACTAGAGCAATTTATTTATAGAATACTATTAGTGTTGAAGTTGAAAATATTCTTATTTATAGGTAGATTCAGCTAAATACCCAGTGGCTTCATCATATACTAGAATAGCGGCTTTAACCGGAAGATTCCTATCAGGTGTAAGCTCACAACTATTGACACATTTCGAGCTTATGGACTACAGACAGCTGAACTACATCACATTAATTGGTAAGACCTTAAAATCTCATTGTTTTTCACACAATTCCATATATATCCTACATAAAATGTATCTAAATATTTGATTTTCTAATACAGTGAAGGTGTTTATATTCAAACGATAACAATTAAATCTATTGTTATCTTTTCTAATGTCAGTTTGTTGACGTAACTGTGCTCATATTAATTACTATGAGATGTTAGTGCAGATGTATGATTGATTAAATGATTAGATTGCACTCGGTACTTGTTGATATACATATATACAAAGATATTGTAAAAATAATATTATTAATCTAATTTTATTGTTTGTATACAAAACTATTGATTAATTATTTTGTTTGTATATAATCTAAACTTTATCTTTCTAATCCCTTATATATAATAATTATAGTAATATTTTAAGATTTCAATAAGTTAATACATACAGGGTGACTGGTGAATTACTATCAATATTTAAGGAGAATACTTGGTACATGATTCTCATACGAATTATGTAAAAAAAATAGGCACTTAATTTTTGACAAAATTTCCGTATAAATAAATAAAGTGTTGACACGTTCCAAGTGTTCCTAGTGTGGACGCGTGCGGCGGCGTGCTGATACAACACTACGCCGCCGTCCGCGTATGTGTGAGTGTGAGTGTATACCTAATCTGTAGGGTGTTCATACAATGCGTAATTAATTACACAACTTTTGGTTAACTTTACTTAGAAGTTTATTAATATTTATGTTATATTAATTTTTATTTTGTCATATATGATCGTCAAATATCACGTCCTCAAGTATCGATAGTAATTCACCAGTCACCCTGTATATTCTATTTTTTTATTTTTCTATATTCCTATTTGTAGTAATGTAGTAGGTATATTTTATTCATTACAGCACAAATCTTGGCAACATTTTGGGCTTTCTGGTTGCCCCCCGTGCCATATGGTATTTATTTCCATAGACAATCTATAGACAATACGTTTCAGGTCGACTATACAAAAACCGACGAAAAGTCACATTCCTGCCCAACAGACACTGTAAAGGTAATAATTTAATGTTCTTACATAATTGAAATTAATTAATATTTTACCTCACAATTTTTAATGATTTATTTTAAGCTAAATATGATATTGTGGAAGCAATCTTTTATTTATAAGCCATCTAAAAATATATTACAGTTTCATTACGACTACTACGTAGGCACATTGCGCTTAGACTAACAACGTAATAATTACGTCAATAGCAATTTATCTATTTTTATAAGTTGTCTTCTATTTATACTTCGGCTAAATTCTATATAATAATATATACATGTATATTCATTAATAACATTTCTTTTAGGATACCTTCACAAGGAACGTAAAAAACGCCGCATTTCTCATATATAAGCACGCCCGTTTAGCGTATACGCGGCCTAAAGTGCTCGTCTGGTCCGCCTTATATGCGGCCGCCTTAGCGTTGTTTGTACAGACACAGACATACATACAGTTATTGTGGAAGCAAATACAAAAAGGAACTGACAGCCCCGTGAGTATGACAGAGATAAACTATGTAAATATTATGACATTGCTTATATATTTTATTCAACTACGAAAACACCATATAGTAGAGGGTGTTCATATTAAAAATGTTGGCACAAATACTAGAATTTGTTAATTCTTTTTCGTTAGAGAATAAAAACAGAGAATTTTGTGAAGAAAAAAATCAGAAAATGTTTAGAAAAATCCTTTATATTACAATGTATCCAAATACATTAAGCATAAGTGTATCTGAGATATACGTGTATTACTTTCAACTACTCATAAAAATAAACGCGTAATAAATCCGAAAAATATAATATATCAATGAATACTCTCGAAAATAAATTGAAGTTAATCATTAAAAATTCACAGGTGGTATACAATGGCGCAGTAGAAGCGACTCAGACCTTGCTAGGTGCGGTCGGTTCCTTCGCATCGTCACATCTGACCCGCGCCTTATATCCAGGTCTTGCAGGAGTTGCCCAGGGTGCAGCTGTATTCCTCGGCGCCTTCATAGATAACGTGTTCGTGTCATACGCCGGTTATATAGTTATGGGACTATTGTATCACTATATTATAACACTAGCAAGGTATGTGAAATGCATTTTATAATGCTGTTAGAAAAACTGCCAATACTAGTTTTTTTGTCTTTACATTTGGAACCTTGAAATACTAACAGTATTGTCTTTTATGCGTTTAAAAGCTATTTACATATTAATGGCTGGTGAAAACTAGTTTTGCTCAGTAGTTTTTTTGCTGAATAGAGTAGAGAAGTATTTTACTTATCAGGTTTGTGCTTTATGTTAACAATATTCATAATAGATGGCACTTCTGTCCCAATATAAAGGTTAAATATATAGAATTTAACTATACTGATGATGTTGATATAGAATACTAAATTCATGATAGCTAAATTACAAAAACAATTGAAAGGGGATATACCACAGATTGCCTGTTTGAATCCTATTCATATTGATAAACCTTCGATCCTATACTATGTATTTGAATTTACATTCAACAACGCCATCTATCGTTAAGTAGCTTTTGTGTTGCTATGTCGGTAAAACAGTTTTACCTTTAAAAATGTATATGAATCAAAAAAATGTCGGTAAAACGGTTAATCATACCCGAAAACAAGATCAAACTTATATAAATGGTATATCTATAATAATATAATTGCTTATATAGGTTATACTAACTCATAATATTATTTCCAGTGCCAAAATCGCCTGCCAGTTGACGGATGAGAGTTGTTTCGGTTTAATATTCGGTATAAACACTCTAGTGGGTACCGGACTCCAATCAATACTGACCATCGTCTTAATACAGAGTTTATCATTAAACATAACTTCACAATACTTTTCTATCAGCGGTCTTTTCATAATTTTAGCCGCAATATGGATATTGGGATTGATGTTGAACGGTTGCAAACAGAAAAGAATTAACGCCGCCGCACAGTATTAATAGATTTAATATAGATGTATGAGAATATTGTTCATATAAGTTGTAGAGATATATATTTTGTTGGTTGTGGTGTAGCGAAGTTGCGTTGATTAAATATATATATTATGTTGAGCCCTATTTTTAGTCATTATTTTCCTAAACTCTACCTAACTATAAGGTCTATGAAAATTATAAATTTAGCAACATTATTTGTTTTAAATAGAAATAAATACTTATTTTTACATAAAATACTTTCAAGGAAATATATATTTTTTCTCTATTACAGTGTTTATTTATACGTAAAACTTTAAAAAGTCATAAACACATTTTGAACTGAAATGCTCTTCTTACCCTAAGTTTACCCGGTCTTATATTGATTAAAACTTTAGTCTGAGTATACTGACAAATGATAAAATGACAAATGCTTAAATCATTTAAAACAAAATGTGATTAACACCATCTTTCTCTTTCTCACACACTCACTCATTAACTTTAATATAATCATAAATTAGATAATAACAAATTATGATTCAGTTGTGCTAAATCGTATACCCGCCAAAATAAATAGCCCCATTACATTTATATAACTTAAAGAACTTTTTAAACGAATCTTTGTGAGAAGCAGTGCCTTTTAAACCCTTCTTGCGGTTCTTCTTCTTCTACCTGGCAATTTCCCAGCTTTAGCCAGGGTCTGCTTACATGTTGTGAATAGTTTTGGCTAATTTTTTTTACGACCGGCCGCCTGCCTGACATCAACCCTCTTTGGGAATGCATTAATCAGTGGTGTCTAAATACTCTTAGAAAGTACATACGACTCTGAAAAATCACATTTGTACTTGCCTGTGCCAAGATGGAACCCGCGCCATCGCACATGAGAGGCGGGCCTTTTAACCACTAGGCCACCACTGACTTTTTAACACTTTTATGTTTTTTTTCATCCTGTAGAGGTTTTATGTGATGTATGAAGAGTATGCAGCAAGTACACCAGGCTACCTTCCGATTGGCTTCAAGAAAATGTGGGCGGTCGAAAATGGTTCTATTAACTGATTGCACTTTTACGAAATCACTAGTATTTATCTCTAAACGCATTAAGCTTGTAACTAGTAAGTAAGAATATGACATTGTTACCTAACTGTTTCATGTGCAGAATAATACAAAAATATATAAATCTTAAAAATGGACTTGGTTTACAATAAGTCTTAAAAGGCACTGAATTCAAAACTGTTGCAAGAATGTTTAACTTAGAATTACAAAAGAAATATATATTTTTTATTCACTTAAGCCAGGGCCCAGTAATTAAATAGTTAAAATCAGAACCCATAAAACTCCCGAAAATTATCTACATCTAAAGTACATTACACGTAGCCTAGTAGTGCCTACTGTTTTTACTTTGAAAAAATCTAAATTTTCGTGTTTGTTTGATGACAAATAAATAAGTGCTCAATAATACATAGTGTCAGTTTCATTTGCTTGCAATGGACCTGGCACCCGCATGGTGGATTATTAGAATGCTGAGAATTTAAGAGTAAAATAAATGAATATTTAACAATGTACTAATAAATTTTTTGTTTAAATGAGCTTGTTTTACTATTAACATTTTAATTTAACTGCAAGAATTATTCCAAAATGATCAAAGAATTTTTTTGTACTTACATGATATCATTATTTATCTAATCAATTCTTTGTATGTTTTTTCCTACTATAAATTTATAAAGTAATAGGTAGGTATATTATGATTAGTTGTAATTAAAATGGTATTAATATTATTTACAATTTTATACAGTATGAAAGTTAATAAAAAATTAAATATTAATTTTAATAATTTATTGCACAACAAATCCGTTTTTTTTATACAACATTTAAGTACTTATAGATTATAAATTAATTTATGTAAAAATATATTATAATCCGTTTATATAAAACTAATGATGGAGTTCTCAACATTGACATTCATGAAATAAATCTGTTAATTTATAAAAATGGACATAACTGATATGTTTTGGAATGTTGTTGAAAGAAAAAAAAGAACATAAAATATTTGGAAATGACATAGTATCAGGAAGTCTTAGAAGTTCACAACCATTGTATTAGCCAGGAAGAGTTTTCTTCAATGAGAGAGATGGTTTTACGCGTACTGCATGGTCGCTGGCCGTGTTTTAAAGTAAACATAAACACATATCAACATAAATATTACTCCAAAAGTAGGAAGTACTACTGTGTTAATCTGATTACGCATTTTAGCGAATTCTTGCTTTCTCTCACGTTTCTGTTTTGCGGTTTCTTTAACAGTTCCCTTAAGCTTCCTCATCGTGAAACTATAAAAACAAATTCTTTCGTTAACTTCAAGAAATAAAACCATAGCGCACTAAACCAGAAATGTAAAATTAATACCTTTAATATGTTTGTTGTGTATATGGAAAATTTCAGTAATTATCCTTTAAACAATGTAGAGTTTCAGGCTGTTGAAAAAAGTTATCTACACGTCACCAAATCGCATATAAATATAAAATAGTAGATTTTCGATACGTATGACGTTTTGTTGGCACTTTGACAAATGACATAAACACAAGTTCAGTAGTTTAAAAAGATTTTTCCATATTACGGAAAATGTATGTGTCAAATTTACACAACTAAAGCATTTGAATATGAATTATTATGAAAATTACTACATATTGTTTTTACTTATTGGCTTTACATAATTTGTTCTCACAATGACCAAAAAAAACTAATAAGTTTTATAAAAATATTTAAAAAACGGGTTCTCATTTCTATCATCGTTATGAAATATTATTTGTTTTAGTAATAATGTAGAATATAGACATTAGACAATACACAAAAAACATATCTTATTCTTGTTATTAAGTAACGCCTTTTAATATTAAGGGATTCTTAAACAGGGAAATAAAAATATATGTATATTAAGGTAATTTATTTATTTTTCACAATCTTGTTTTTAACATACGTAAATATATAAATATATTATTAGTAATCAATTTATTTTAAAGTAAACTACAAAAACAACACAATTAAAAGAACACAAAACTACACATAAATACTTATGCATTTTATACATAGTACTTGTTGCAAATAATTTGTTCAAACATGATATTCCCCTCCATCCACTTTTTCATCTGACAAAGAAGTTAGAATACCGGCTGCTGTACTTTGAGAGAACCATACCACCGATATAATCAAACCTTCTAGAACACCAATACCAAGCCCAGCTAAGACATCCAGAATATAGTGCCTCTCGGCAAGCACCCTTGAAATAGCCACAGCTCCAACCCATGCCATTAGAGGAGGGAAGAATATCATAGAGATCGGATCACAGTAAATTAGGATAAAAGCAACCATAGCAGCTCTACTCGCATGACCCGACGGAAAAGAATACTTGTCAGGGTTGCCCGGTATTAGCTTACTCATCGGTATAGGACGACGTCTTCTCACAAAAGCTTTGGTTACTGCTATTATTACTATATCCAATATTAAAGCTAAAATAAAACCTTCATGTTAATTACCATTTTATAAATTAAAGAAACTTGTCTATGGCTATACATACCGAATAACATGTTAACCTGTAGCTGATATAGATCTTTGTTGTTAAACAACCAAATAAAAGTAAGCCATCCAGCCAACCAAACAATTCCATGGCATGATACCTGAAGAACCAGTTAATGCCATTTAGTTTTGAATATGTTTGGCAAAAAATCTTAGCAAAGCCATATACTTGTAATTTTTTTAACTTACAATAAAAAAAGAAACAGGCAACTTAAGTTGTTCTAACATTGATAAGCTATACTTTTGAAACAAAAGTTCTAACATCAGTATTAAATAAAATATTCAATACTACTGTATTGATAAGAGATAGAAATTATTTATGACAAAATGTTAATTTTAAGGTAAGGTACTCAAATTCAAAACAATGGAGGCTGTCATACTTAATTGAACAAGTCCCAAACCATTATAATTTTATCACCTACTAAAATTAGAAAAAAAAAGAAGACAATCTAGTGGACTGTGTTTTAATTCGTAGCTTAGAAATTGCACTCCACATAAATGTTGTATTGGAATAATAACCAAAACAGAAATAAATATAAGTACGCCTACACTCAACAGTTAAATCAAGGTTTGTTTTTATTAATAGCAATGTAATCGTTACTGAAATGAGTCATATTGTATTAATGATAAACCTCTCATTTGTCATTATCTTAAAGGTGTATTATCTATGTATTACCTCTAAAAACTTTGAATGAATCCGAAGTGACCTTAATGCTGTGACATTTTGAGATAATTCAACAAGCTTTTTTGTAATCTGTACATCATATTGCAATATCTTCTGCAACATATCCGGTACTTTTCTCTTCTCTTCTGTATGTCCTAGCTAAAATGATAAAAGTTAAAGTTATCGAACAATTAAAATTAGCGCAATGATCTCACTCATTTGTTATTCATGCAAAGAATAATCTAATGATTTTAGTGTCCTTAATATCTTACCAAATCCATGTTGTGTAAATAAAAGCTTAACAATGGAATCACTTGAACTAACTAAAAGCCGATGATCTTTATGGTATCTACAATGAAACATGCAATTAAATTGATTAAGAAATAGAATATTGTCCAAAATAATACAAAAAAACTATGAACTCGAACTCCACGAATATTAGTTACCAAAATTATGCTGCAACTTGAATATTAGGCCCCGGTTTTTACTGAATTCGTTATGTTTCAGGCAACAAAATATTCTTTCAGATACCTCTTGATGATAACAATACCTTTGCAGTTGTCAAAACGACTTTCTTACCATCATAAAATAATAAGCTAAGTCACGAATGATATAAAAAATTTACATATTTTTCAACTAAACTTGCTAAAATATAAAATACAAAAAAAAATCCAAATTAACAGGTCGAATAAAAAATATATATTAATTATAATAAATACATATATAATTCCTCTAGATGTTCTCTTGCAACACTAGCATGAATCGTACCTTACCGTATTTGAATTTGATAAACTTTGAAGAACCGAAAAATTTATCAAAAATCATTTCATAACGTGAAATTGAATTTTTCAAATCATTTCATAACGTGAAATTGAATTTTTCAAATCATTTATTTATAAAAAAAAAATCATTAACTGTCTTATCTAAAAATACGCAATTTTAATATTTAATAAAGCTTTACATATACACAAATGTGCATCAAAATATTGTTCTATCTGATTATATGTAAATAAAATAACATATGTATGGCTATCACCTATAAATTAATGTTTAATATTCAATTGTAATTTGTAAAAATATTTATACAGAAATAATTAAATATGAAGAGTCGGACATGTCTAAGAAGTATAATTTGAATTGGTATATCCACATTTTTTTATCTATTCCTAATTTTAAGTCAGCTAGTATTTTACTTACATATGTCAATTTTCTATTTTGAATATACATATTGATATTTTATATAAATGGAATTTTTCGGAATTACTTTGTATGGTCCTCAGAATTTTATAAAGGATACTTTAAGAAGCGATTATGAGGAGCCAATGTCCAAAGAAGAAGTTAAACCATTGATGGAAAGAATAATTCAAAATTCGACTATGCCGGAAAAAGTATTCTGTTTTACTTAACAATTTTTTGAATGTAATAATATATTAAACTACAATTTTTATCTTGAAATTTTAATAGATTCTAAGACCGGACGTCGACGCTATCAGGTTGATTGATTGTTACATTGGTAGAGTCAATGGCTTTGCTTATGGGTCATCTCAAAGATTCATCAAAATGAAACGTAAGGGAGTCATAAAACCAGTTGGGCCAGCCGATATGTATAGAATTCCACCTTCCAGCTCCAACGATGTAATTATTTGTGAGACTTTCGCTCATTTAAATATACGGAATGGTAAACATATTGCCTTGTTTTTCAGTATGGGTGGTTTCATCATGATCCGGAAATCACTTCTAGCTCTTGGCATAAAACATTTCCAAGACGACCCCAACCAACATCACCAAATACACTTATTTTGGATATTGTTAGGAAAAATAATAAATACGCTACCCTGTTTTGAAATCCTCAGTTAAAAGTCTTTATGTATTTTAATTATTTTTATACATAATTTATGTAATCCATATTTATTAATAAATATCAGAACTTGCAACATTTTAAAGTGTCATAAGAAAGTACAAAACATAACTAATAAAAATTATAATGGCAACACCTCTTTGAACTGTGACATTAGACGGTGTTTCTTTTTGGTTCTGACGTTGAACAGTAGAGGCGGGTGTGTGACTAAAAATGTGAGTAATCTTGTAAAATCTTGAAAATCGTTCGTTATTATTAAATAAATAACTTAAATTAGTCTTATCTGCAATCAGTGCTTATTGTGAATGATAATATTTTTTACCCTTATGATAGTGATACCGACATAACCTATAGTGTAAATATGATAAGTTGAACATCTATATTTGCAGGTCGAAAGTATCTCGTGATACTCTATATGAGTGCGTCAATGCCGTACTCCAATCGTCGAAAGACAAGAAGCGTAACTTCTTGGAGACGGTCGAACTCCAAATCGGTCTGAAGAACTATGACCCCCAAAAGGACAAGCGTTTCTCCGGCACCGTCAAGTATGTTTACCTGGAAAGAGCATTATTGTGGGCTTGTTGAACTCTTAGACCTGACGATAACAGAATCCTACAAATTTTCGTATGAAAACCTGTTACATTTGATCGTATCAAATGTTTTATATATTGTTAGTCCACAACAATGAATCCGTACAGGGAGTCAGTGAAAACTGACGGGACTTGACCCAGAGTCTTTAAATAATGGGTAGGTTTGTTCCGACTTACCGATTCTAATAAATTATCAAAGCTGACATGGTAAGATCCTGACACAGCGTAGTCTTAGTTATAACTCGTTAAATATTCACATATATGATGAATAAAAATTAATTGCATGTATTATCTGATACTTGATGATCAATATACTGCTGATAGAAAATATATACTATCTATAGATCCTATAGTTAAATGGTTATGATAATGATTAATTAATTCCAGGCTAAAGTACATCCCTAGACCCAAGATGCAAGTGTGTGTTCTTGGAGACCAGCAACATTGTGATGAAGCTAAGTCATTGACTGTACCGTGCATGGACGCTGAAGCTCTTAAGAAACTTAACAAGAACAAGAAACTTGTTAAGAAACTAGCTAAGAAGTAAGTGTAATCAAGTCTTATAACAATTTCAGTATTAAACTCCTTCCTTTCAAACTAAATACACTTATAGTATTTAGTCAGTGGACGGCCTAGTGGTTAAAAGGCTCGCCTCTCAAGCATGAGGGCGCGGGATCGATCCTGGCAAGTACCAATGTGATTTTTCCAAGTCATATGTACTTTCTAAGAGACATCACTGATTAATGCATTCCCAAAGAGGGTTGATCACAGGCAGGTGGCCGGTGGTAACAAAAAAATTTGATAAAACTTTTCACAACATGTAAGGCACACCCTGGCTAAACCTTGGAAAGTGCCAGGAAGAAGAAGAAGAGTTTTTAGTATGTTAAAACAAATTTTAATTAAATGTAATAACTTCCAGATACGACGCTTTCTTGGCATCTGAATCCCTCATCAAGCAAATTCCCCGTCTCCTTGGTCCTGGTCTGAACAAGGCCGGCAAGTTCCCTGGTCTTCTCTCCCACCAGGAGTCAATGACACAAAAGATTGATGAGGTCAAAGCTACCATCAAATTCCAAATGAAGAAGGTGAGATTCATATAATCTTTGATTTGTATAGTTAAGCTAAAGTTTAAAAAATAATTACTAATTGTAACAAAATTACCTTAAAAGCCATTAGTAGAGAAAATATTTCACCTTAAAGAATCTTCTGATAATCTACTTCCAATGTAGATACATGGAATTATCTTATGGTAGTTATGCAGATTTGCACTATTCCCGACGATATGTTTTCTAAAACCACCTTAACAATATTTATAATATTATTTCAGGTACTCTGTCTCTCTGTGGCCGTCGGTCATGTTGATATGACACCAGACGAGCTTGCACAGAACGTGCATCTCTCAATCAACTTCTTGGTGTCACTGCTCAAGAAGCACTGGCAAAATGTGAGGTCGCTTCACATGAAGTCAACTATGGGACCACCTCAGAGATTGTACTAAACTAAATATACATTTATACCCATATTTTATTGGATTTTTTATTTATTTCATACTGGTATTATAAAGTTTCTGGGTGAAAAGAAATTTGCTGATTAATCAATATTAGATGCATTAATTGAAATTTTAATAATCTAAATGAAACTAATATTTTTCGGATGTACTACGCGATTTTATATTTGATAAAAAACTACATACTCCCGACGTTTCAGACCAATGAGATCCGATCATGACTTGAAGGATATGTTCTAGATAAGTTGTTTATTATTAAGTTAAAACGTGCAAATAGTAATTCAAGTACATTCTTGACGATGCCATAATAATTGCTCTGATCATTTAAAAGTATGCAGACGAAAAAACAGGCATAATAAATAAGCTTTTGTTTTTACGGAGGTTCAAAAGTTTCAAGATCGTTTGAAAATGTGATTGGTAATGAAAATTTTCTAGCGATTAAAATAATAGTCGCAAGTGAAGTGGCTGCATTTGGAATTGGGGATTCTATGGACTTTGTGATGTTGAAGCTTCTTGTCCTTCTATGACTAAGACTAATAGATCTACACCGCTTTGACTACGATGACAATCACAAGTTATATGAATTCCTTATATTATTTTTTCAAAATTGACAATAGATAATTATCAACAATTATAATTGTTGACAGAAAACTGTCGTTTCGACATCAACATCTTTAAAAAAAGCTTAAATCGTATTGAACACTAAGAATAAAGTGAAGTATAGAATATAGGAACAGATCTAAATGAAAGTTATATTTAAATACAGAAAGAAACAGTTTTCAAAGGACATTTTAAAACTAAATTCAGATTGAAAGCTTATTACAGTTATTTCTAAAACGCTACTAAATTCCTATGTCCTTGACCTTTTATTCTTTATATCTTGTTACTGTAGGATGATAATATATTTTTCGTCTTGAATGAATGAAATGAAACCTGTTTATATTTATATTTCATTGTATAAACTTTTGATAAAAAATTCTGGATATATAAATGTCTTTATTTAATGGTAACAATATAAATGCTAACAAAATTAATTATATCATTTCGCTTGCACTCCTTAGGCCTAACTCTTGATCACTATCTTCTGAGTCGCTGTCATCTGGCAAGTGGTCATCACAATCCTCTTGCACCTCAATATCATCCACAGTTACTTGGGAAGCAATGATTTCTCCTTGAATGTTCCTATTTTTAAGGTTTCCCATCTCGAAAGCCTCCGAACACTCGTTCAACGCTAAAACTGATTTAACTTTATATATCAGCGTCTCTAGCAGTTCCTTGACTGTTGGAATTTTAACCATCAATACTTTGTCATTCTTCAATTTGGAATGACAACATACAGATTGTAGAAATCTCGTTGATTTCTGTAACACACTCCAAATACCTAATATTCTTTGGGGATTGTGTTTGAACTCTAATTGTAGTATTGGGATCCCGTATGTCACAAATAGTTTTATAACAGGGATAGATTTTTTGAAAAATACCATCAGGATATTCCTGAAATCCATTATTCTCGTTATTTCTACCATAGACTTCAATGTAACTAACACACTTTCCCACACTTCCAAATGTTCTGAATTAGTTAGCCTTTTGTTTACTTGATGCTTAGTTCTATCATGCAAAGAACTCCCTATGATCCGGAATAATATCGAGAAATTGTTTTTATTAATGCTTTTATAACAATTGAGATGAGAACGACCTTTTTTAAGAGCCTCTACGTCATTCATTATTAACAAAGTGCAATCTTTGATCTCATCAATTTCAATGTTCTCGAAGAATACTTTACCAAATATATCTATACTTTGATTTAATTGACCTCCTTTTTCTTCTGCGCCCTCTGCTGTTTTCCACTGTTTTGATAAGAATGATTTTGCTGTATCTCTTAAAATAACCAATATAGAACGATTGCAAGAATGTTCCTGTAACGTTTTCAACAGTTCAATTAATGATGTAGCTGTACTTAGTAGTACACAGTACTTTTTATAATTCTGTAAACTTTTCGCAACAGTGGTCAATAGATCCTGCACCGTGACTAATTTTTCATCATCTAACTTTGCTAAAGTTTTCAGAGAAGATTGTAACAACGGATTGTTTCGATTTTTGAAACCAATCCATTTGAAATAAGTTTTTAGAAAATTAAATATGTTTTCTAATAGACTTATGTACTCAAATATTTCGTCGTTATACGGAAAATCATCGTCTTCTTCTGTCTCTTGATCAGTATCATTGAAGCACATTCTGGATTCCAAGAATGACGTAACAAATGCAAGATGATCAACAATTTTTGGCATCGTTTTGTTGACATATTCAGCATATTGCTCTGCCTTAACGGGGTCATATACATCAGCGGTATCTTGTTTGTTGGAGAAAATATTTTTTTTCAACTTCGGGTGTAACGTATTCTCAAGGGCTTTGTTGATATGAATTAAAAGAAATGTGGCAATTTTGACCGTCAAAGCTTGTTCGGAATCAGCATCTGTTAACTCTTCGTTCAATAACTTTATGATCTTTATATCAAGGGCTCTAAATTGTATGTTGTGAGTTAAAGCCATTTTGGAATTAGCAACTGCCTTTTTTTGCGTAGCTTGTGACTTAACGCTTTCTGATATAATCGATTCATCAGTTACCCCTTTTTTCTTTTCCTTGCGTTTAGCAGCTGACTGTTTCTTCAGAGTTCTTTCCAAATTCTCATTACTCGTATTTAAATGACATGCCCAAGATGGCGGCTGGTATGTCAGGTTATTCTTCATCAGAATCTCCGTAATTAAGCTTTCCAACTGCTGTATTTGAAAAACCCTATTTATGACCTTACTTCTTAAGTTTTGCTCAGGGACATCTGAAAATGCGTTTAGCACTTCGCGAAACCAATTGACGCAGTGAATTAGACAATCCAGAATAGCTGATATAGAAGTATCAGTGAGTTCATCCTTCATGACTTCTACATCTACTTTTGGCATAACAACAGGACAACCGATTAGTGCATAAATGTTTTTTGAATTATTATCCTTCTCTTGCAAATTATCCAAAGTCTGAACTAATTGCAACAATGGTGACAGTACCAGTATATTTACATCTTCTTGTTCTTCCAATGTTAAGCCAGCAATATTAATGGCTATTTCATCATCTGTTTCACTTTCTGTATTGAGACAGTACTGTAGACTCAGACTTAACTCTCCGACTGTCTCATGCGGTAGATTATTTACAATAAAATTTTGTGCCAGATCGTTAGTCACAGCCTCCGTTATCCACAAAAGAAAATGTTTATTAATGTGGGATGAGGAATTAATTATTTTACAAAATTCGTCATAGAAGAAAGCTATCATTTTAGGAAACTCCCTTGTGCTGCAGCTTATAAGTTCTATGATCTGTGCTGCCTCTTTAAGATTACCTTCAGGTAAACAATCCACAGAGCCATAATTTATATCTTCTGGTAAACTTATATTACTGTCTTCATCAGAGGAAAATGCTATTAAATATTTTACAGCATGAATACCGGCAAGTATTCCATGATATTTAATAGTATGGTTGGACCTTCCTAAGTATTTTCTTATGATTATATGAACGTCACTTCTTATTACTGAGTTATCATAACTATAGGCTAGACCGCATACCAAATTCATGACAGCCCTTATTTCATTCAAAGTCATGTCATCCTTTCTATCTAAAAGTGTTAACATTTGTGAACTTTGATGTTTTAATACAGACATATTCTTAGCTGCAACACTGTTTAAAATTGCCAATATATTGATAAGACTGTGCTTGCAATTCAATCCAAATTGCAATAATTCTGCAACTATTGTCTGACAAGAATCTTCAAGATGGTCAAACATCAGTGAATACATGTGTGACGCAAAAGATTGAACTATTGAATCTGGTGTTTTTAAAAGTGAGTTTGATAGTAAAATCATATGTTTCAGATATTCTTTGATTATTGGATTATATTTTTCAAAGGCCTTATCCAATAAATCCTCCTTGAAAATATTAAGTTTTATTTGTTTACGTATTATCTGTTCAACCTGTTTCTGTTTTTCTTCTGATAATGAGAATAGAATTAGAATGATTATAAAATCAAATGCTTCATGATCTGAATGATCACCACAGTTTGAAATTAATTTGATCCAAGCATTTGCTATATATTTAGAAGATACCATAGTATTACGTATGGCCTGTGCGGTTAATATTTGGCTAGATGCAATTTCCTGAGGTGAGGCAATGGATGATGGCCAGCTCAAAGCATTTCTTAAGCCTTTTACGGCCACCATGTATGTACTCTCGGATGACTTTCCAGGAATTAGGAGAAATTTGACAAAATTTGGAAAGTAGCTGCATTTTGATGTTGTCTTCAAGATGTTTAATGTTTCATTCCTCAATTCTTCATATTGATCATCAGACAGACACAAATAGGAAAGGCAGTCAAGTGTAGCGGGTATAAGCTTGTGATCTTTTTGCTTCAGTATCTTACTTAATTCTATAACAATTTTGTCATGCGCTTGGTCACCAATTATGTCTGGAATAGTAGTTATTATTTCAAGCTGTACTAATTCTTCATAAGTAACATCTAATAAGCTGATTATATTAGTAGCAATATTGTCACTATCTATCATGTTATCTAAAGAACATAGAGATCTTAAAATCATTTTGATCCAGGGTCCACATTTTGAATCCGCTGCCAAGTCAAAAGCTTTTTCGAATATGTAGTTGATTAATTTATTTTGTAATAATGGTATAGTGAGAAGAATTTTAACAATACTGTCATTTTTGCACTGAATAGTCTGATCTGTCGTTTTTCTGACAATATTAGGAAATAAATAATGTTTAAACATTTCTAAGTCTTGACATCTTTCAACAAATTTATCGTAGAATTCAGATAAATTTTGAGGATAATCTGAGTGCTTTTGTAAATTTTTCTTTAAATTTCGCGTAATAACTATTATGTCGTATTTTGCTTCACAACTTTCCGGCGGTTTAGCTAGATCTATTCCACTTTCTTTTAAAGTAGTTTCAAAATAATCTTCGTGAACAGTTTTTCTCCGTTTTGGAGGACTTTCTAAATTTTTCTTTCTTGCCGACAATAATCTTTTATTCATTTTATAAGTTTGTTGTTCACTTATTTGTATTATAATTATTTATTATCCGCCCACTTCACTCTCGAGTACTTAGGTCATAAGTCATAACTCATGGGTGTTTTGATAGGTCGGTATTTAAAATCGCACTTAATTTTTTGTAACTGTTTTACGGCTCTGGATACGAGTCTTTTAAAGAGTCTCACTTCTCTGTCAGCAGTGTTTGAAAGTTTTACGTATACAAGTCGTTACATTTAATATTAAAAGTACACAGAAAGTCGTTAAAAACGATTTGTATCAACAATGGACTAATGATATTGTTCTTAGGGGGGAAGAGAATGCTAGCGAAAATAATTCAATTTTTATTTAAGTGTATCTATACAACAGTTTACCGCTTTTGATTGTAAAAGAAACCCTTTTATTAGTCCCGATAAGTTTAAGCACTTCGATGGTATTTAAAAAATGTGTAATATTTATTTTGTGTCTTTAAATCATCTCCAAACAGTATCAAAGCATTGAAAGTGTTTAGCTACAATCTATTGCTTGTTTGTATATTTTTTCTGCCGAATTTTTAAATTATACAATGTTAATCAAAAATTTGATAGTATTAGTAGTGTTTTATCACTATCAAAATCTTTGCTAAATCCCAGTTCTGTTATTACTGGATTCTTAACGGTTCCATTTTTTATTGCAGAAGGTTTTGATCAGAGAAAATTCTCCAAATACTGGATATAATATGTCTCTTTAACAAAGTAAAATTTTATTAAATTTATTTTCAGTTCCAAAACTTTAATGATTTTGTACCTTTTCTTAAACGTATAGAATTTAAATTTTGAATGAAATATATTGTGTCATCTGTCATAATTATTTTATATTTTATAATAGCAAATGTCGAATGACATAAGTTATTGGACAATATTTTTATTATAAAAATTGTATTAAGATAATACTTTAGCCTTTGCTGTGTTTCACTCTTCGTGTTATTAAAATGAATTTGAATATATCGAATGCAGCGAAATATATTTGGAAAACTCAAGCTATTCCTGGATTTGGGGTTAAGTATTGTTAAATAGCGGTATTAATTACATATTTTAGTTACGAGTTATAAATAAATTCTCATTTCATGAATTCTTTATTCCAATTATTGAATTAAAACAATTGAGTCGTAAATAGATTCATTTTTATTTCATGAAAATGAAAGTGTAGAAAAATTAATAAAATATTTTACTTCTAGTTCCAGCAAGTTAGAAACAAATGGGCGAATTGGTTGATGATCAGAGACGTAAAACGTCGTCGTATGAGCGCTGAAAATTTTCTAGAGAGGTCTAGAATAAATGCTTTAAGGAAGAATGATGTTCTACCAATTGAAATAAGAGAACTGGCTGATAAAGAGATTAACAAATTTGAGCTTAATGCCACTCCCATGAGAATAAATAACAGATGTGTTATTACATCAAGGTATATTTGGAATTTTAGAATAGTTTTGTTTCAGTACAAGTAATAACTAATAAGACTTGTTTCAATAAAAATAGAAGTCTATATATATTTGGCTTAGTGAAGTTTAATGGTATATGTGAAATAATTTAACTTATATATATCCTTACAGGCCCCGTGGTATAGTGAAGGAATGGAGAATGAGCCGTATTGTGTGGAGACATCTTGCCGACTACAATAAACTGTCTGGCGTTCAAAGAGCTATGTGGGGTTGAGTTGATGTCGGATCAAATGTTTGAAAATGTATTTAATTCTTAGCTATATGTATTATGAATAGAAGATAAATTGTTGACTAATGTGCTGGTTTCATTTACTTATTCATAACTGAAGGAAGGCCGATTGTTGCATTTAGAAGTACTAAGTACTAACAAAAAGCATTGGTAAACTAAATTCCTAGAGTAATTTTGCCATCGTATTTAGATGTGAGAAAGACGCCTTTGCTCAGCACTGGGCTCTGATAGGCTGATGATTTGGATAAATATTATAAAAAAATATCTTTAATAATGTGAATGATATAGTGATGTTATAAATTGAAGGTTAAAATAAAAATTTAATTTAATATCTCAAGTTGATTGTCTTTTTCAACATATTTTAGAAATTATGATGATTTAATTACTAAATAAAGACATCTTTTTCTATTTAAACACCTTTTTCTATTTAAACATCTTTTTCTATTTAAACACCTTTTCCTAAAAATGAAAATAATCTAGCCATAGTATCAACTAGGTTAATATTATCTAAATTTTTAATGGTACATTTTAAAATATAATTTTTAAGAGTAGTAAATATACTTGAAAAACATGGAGTATAAAATAATGTAATAAATTAATAACATTTCCTTACTTATAATGAGTTAGTTGTCATCGGCCTATCAGAGCCCACTGCCGAACAGAGGTCTCTTCTCACATGGAGAAGTTTTGAGCATTAATCACCACTCTTGCTCAAGATGGGTTAGCGATTTCAAACTTGAAATTGTGAAATTATAAGTCCAGGTTGCCACATGATGTTTTCCTTCACCATCTGTCAGTGTAGTCTAAATACTCTTAGAAAGTACATGACTTGGTAAAATGTATGTTTGTAAAACTAAATAAATATTAGCAACATTTATTGACTAGGTAAAAATTTTTAGTAAAATAAGGATACATTAGCTGATACAATAAAAGAGATGTATCTGTTTTTATGTTTTTTTATTAAGTTTCCCTTAAAACTAAAGGAGCTTTATAAAGCTTACAATGGAATACCAAAGCTTATCAAAAGCTTTTTAGTCAAAGAGACCTGAAACAAGAAAAAATATGTTAGAATTGTGTATTATTATCAATTTTGTCAGCTTGAGAGTGAAATCAAATCAGTAATAAAGTCTTCAATCATTAGATTTCTGAAGCTAATACATTAGATCAAGCATCATTTTAATATTTAAAAACTATGCAACAAGTACTTTTTAATTGATATTATGTGTAATAAATAATATTTTGGACATCTTAGGACATAAACACATTGTATTGTATAATAATCGTTTATTTAACTTACCGAAGCCCATGTCATCGTCAGATTCTTCGGGTTCCTCTTCCTTCTTTTCCTCCTTGGCGGCTTCAGCGGCAGGCGCGGCGGCGGCTGAGGCGGCAGCGGGTGCTCCACCGGCCGGGGCGGCACCGACACCAGAACCGATGTTGGTGATCAGGTCACGAACGTTCACACCCTCCAAGGCCTTAGCGAACAAACCTGGCCAGTACGGCTCGATGTCAACGTTAGCCGCCTTCAAGATGGTTGAGATTTTCTCACCCTGTTTAAAATATATCATGTAAATAAAGCGCTATATAAGCTCGGAATTTAATTAGAAATGCTTTTTCTGTTCTAATTTCAAGTATGGTTAAACAATCACAAGGATGTAAGCGGATAACTATATAACCTCAATGGGTCGTAATTTATAAATTTTGTTAAAATGAAGTAAACTCACGGTAACTGCGACATCGTCGTCAACGAGGATGAGAGCGGAGTATACACAAGCTAATTCAGCCTTTGATGCCATTTTTGTTGATATTTAGTGCAAGTCGCCAAGTGGCCTTAGCTCCGAGAGAACAAGCACGTTTGACTTCTAAAATTAAAGAGAATGATACCAACAACTGTCATATAAACTTGACGGTGTCAGTTAAAACATTCTTGTCAATGTCAAAAACTATTTTTTTCTCCTTAGACTCGTAGGTTTTCGCGCGTGTTACTTGTTACAGATAAAAAATATATTAAAATTATTATAATCCAAATAATAATTATGTGATCACTGTTTTTAAGGTTAACTTGATATTAACTGTTTTTCAATAAAAATATTAGTCTGTGACAGAGTGATAAAAAAATTCTTCAAAACGGAATATATATTATGATAAATAAACAAAGAAAATAACAGCTAAGTTTTATTAGATACATTTGGATTTCATTAAGACAACAGTAAATAATACTTTTAAACAACATTTTTACAACATTATTTTCATTATCATAATATTTGACAATCTTATCCAACAAGATTACTAGCCTGTAAATAAAATAAGGCAAATGAGATGACATTTTTATAAGTAACTAACTTAAAAACAAACGAATTTTGTTATATTTAGGTTTTAATTTGAACTGCTTTCATATTAATTTAAATATTATTTTGATCGTGCCTTCGTTTCCCAATAATAATTTATATTAAAAACACTTAGGTATAAAAATATCTGTTGGAATAATTTATTAGTGATGATACATTTATTTGATTTTTTCTCAAACATTAAAACAACAAAGATAATTAATACATAGAAATATGTCGATGAATATGTTACAAAGCTGAATAAACTCACTTTATTTAAATTATATTTACAGACGATCTAATCTACTAACGAAAAAAAATAATTTACGTGCCAACATAAATTTAGCAGAAAAAATATTTTTATATAAAAAAAAGTGCACTTAATGTAAGTCTTTGGAATGATTTAGAGATCCCAAGAAAATAAGTGATGTTTAACAAGCATGTCCCTCACTCCTTCCTTTAATGGCTGATTCTGAGTATCCTTTTTCAAAGGAAGCTCCCAATCAGGATTTAAATTAAAACCAAACTGAGAAAGTATCCTCAGCTCGCATTTTATCTGAACCCAACCCGGGGAATTGATAAAAGACCATGGGTGGTACCATTTTTGGACAACATCAACACATGAACACAGAACCTCTAGCCACAGATGCAATGCCTCTTCATTCAAACCCATACATATTAATGTACGTAATTTAACGTCCATCTGAGCGTGAGCGTTGTCGTGGGACAAATTTATAGCTTGTACGCATCTATAAAGCAACTCTTCCGGAGTAAGTACCTTACCATCTTCATCTAAACGATATGTTTTGCATAACACTAATCTACTATACACAGAATTAAAATCTTTCTCAACCTCTCTAGATGAGGCCTCTTCAATGAACAACCACGGATGGCAGGGCCCATCCAGAAAGCTTGGTTTCTTGATTCCATGTAGCAATACCCTTTTAAATGCAGGTGCTAGAACTCCTCGGACAAGATGGGCTGCTTTCTCAGTAACTGAATCGTCACCAGCTCTACTGTATTTTACACCTTTTTCATCTAATAGCTTAACGAACCTAGCAGGAAACCAGCCTCTTAGACCATTTAATTCTCCGATCCAACAGTGTTCGTCTCTTGAACTTATGACTTCTATGACATCATTTTTTCTAAACCCAAGCTCATCTCCGTCTCGTCTCTCAAAATCCAGAAGAGCCTTGGCACGTCGCCTTTTACTTCGAGATACATTAACATATCTTTCTCTATCAGCCGCATGACTTTGCATAGTGTAGTCTGCTGTAAGAAGAATTTCTGATTGCAACTGTGGTTCCAGGGCAAGAAAGTGTCGAGCAACTTGTAAGATAGCTTCCCTGAGATCAACCAAGATTTCCGTTTGTTTGACATTTTTAGAAACTGCATCTTCATTGTTAGTGTCATCTCCGAATAAAATTGTTTGAATAACAGATTTGCTACGTTTTATCTGCCGTCTTTGGAGTTGCTGTTTGGGCAAGTTAGGCACAGCATTGGGATTTCCTACTAGCGCTCCTTGATCTGCCATCAAATAAGCTAAATGCCGCCGTCTGTGGGTCTCGATGAGGGCTGGACTTAAAGTATCCCCACAAACATCATCAATAGTTTTAATTAGTACATCAACATCATCAATTTCACCAGGAATATCCGATAATGCATTAAATATTTGAGCTGAATTTGATATCTCTGTGAATCTGTTCTCTTTAATCTTCAACATTGCCAAGGTGACTTTGAACAGTACAATCGAACCATCTAAGAAGAATAGATCCCAAATTCGTAGCAAAATTTTCATGTGCACAACATTAGCATATAAAGTGAGGAACCAGTGCATTGTTATAAGAGAGAGCTCAATGTCATGGGCATTTAAAACTTGTTCTATACCAGGTAAGTACGTTGATATGAGACTTCTTAAGACTTTTTGATCGGCCTGTATGCCGATTAATGTTGACGAGTAGTATGATGCGGGCAGCAGATCTTCGACCGTGGTACACATGATCCAAAATGCCTCTTCTTCTTCCATAAGCAGGAGAAGTGATGCAGCTATCATTCCTGTACCTTGGCAGTAACCAATATCGGGATACAGCCATGCTAATGCTCGGAGAATACGACGGAGTCTTGGCACCCCAGTGCTAGTTGGATGTGAAAAACAAACATTGTTTGGTAATATTTGTACTAAGTCTTTTTCTATCTGCTTGCTAGTAACCAAGCCATCATCACTCGAGGCCCTGACAATTTCGTGATAAGTTATTTCGGTTGTTGCTCTTTTCTTACTGGCTCCACATAAATGCATCCATACTTGCGGCCTTAAGGAATGCGGCACTCCATCTTTTACCATACTTTGAAGCTTTTCTGTTTTTTCCAACTTGTTTTCGGAAAAGTTTATTTCTTTGCTGTAAAATTCCCACTGGAGTCTATGTTGGTCATCCTCTATGAAAATATTAGCTAGCAGTTTATTCGAACTCTGTTCGGGGCCGTCTTCTTCATCTACACAAAAACCGAATTCATCGAATCGATAATCTGGTAACCCGCCTCCGTGGCCTTCTGATTCTGGTTGTGCCAATTTCGCCATTATATCCTGAGGTACCATGCTAGCTGTAAGCGCTGAAAAAGGGCCTCCAGGTGCTGGCAAGAGCTCGTCAGCTACATTCATACCACGGATAGAATCAATTACATCTTCTGGGTCGTCATCTGCTAAAGCTGCACTAATTTTACGTTCGTGTTCCTCACGCCCGACGTAACCGTCATGATCGCGGGAACTGAATAAAGATTTAGCCAGATCCATGTCTCATTGATGTTAATTAATCATTTACGGTCAAGTTAATACACTAAAAAATATCCCCATTCTTCTTTGATCCAAAACACTTTCACAAACGTCATCTATCATAGAGCATAAGTCACTTAATAATAAACATTATAATAATAATCGAGTATTAACTTTACTCTTACTATCAATTTCTGTCTAATTATTAATTTTATTAAATTAACTTTGATATAAAGGTAACTTTAATACACTAACAAATGAATTTAAACATTAGAATATATTTATCTTATTAATCTGTGTTATATGTTTATCTATGGTTATAAATATGTCACTTTAATTGCAATTGGACATTCATAGATATAAGATATGTGTTTTGAACACCGAAAATACGCATTTATGTACTAAAATAAAGTAAATGTTTGCATTTGTTGTAAATGCTAAGTTTAAAGTTAATATGATTGTGGATAATTTACTACTCCATTTATGTTACTGAATCCATACCGCATATACGAATAACCGTGATTGAATATTTTTTTGTTTATGTATGAAATGGTCGCATTTAAAGATAGTTTATCAGACAATTGAAAGGTGAGTTAAAAGAAATTAACGTTATAAAACTCGATATAGATATTATACACACAGCAAAATCACATAAATATCGTGTCTGTTTAATGTTCTGGCTAATAATTTTGTATAAAATAGGATGGCTGTAAAAAAATGTTGTGTAGAAAACTGTAATTCATCTTCAACAAGACCAGAAGACATTGGTGTTACATACCACAAGTTCCCTAAAGATAAGACATTACGTGATTTATGGTCGTTGGTAACGCACTACAAACAAACTAACATAGACTCTGCGACATACGTGTGCTCGCGTCACTTTTGCAAAATCGATTTTCAAATTTACGAGGACTCGAAATACATTCTTAGATCAGGTATATCCATTGAAGTTTGTAGTGCTAACGATACATAATAAACATAAATGTACAATATGAATATTGGTTTCTTTGCATTTAGTTTGCTTGCTACATTGCACCATCTTTTATGCTTCACAAGTATTGAAGTTAGTTTCAGAATATATTATCATAAGCATGTTTATAAATTAGTAAATGTTCTATTTAGTGCTTGTGGTGGTTACATTATGAAAACTATTCCTTACATTTATTTGTGGCAATACATTTTAATTCTATTGCTTAGCCTGTATTTTATGTTATCATAAGGGAATGATTTGAAACTGTTAGATAAATTATTATCATCTTGTTGAAAAAATCCTTGTAATTCATTTCACATTATTGCCGAGAGATCAATCTCTCAAGTGAAGTAAGTTGATGTGGATTCAATAAGGTTCTTCATAAATGTTGTTGACGGTAAAATATTTATATATTTATATTGTACTTTGAATTTTCTGTTACAGATTCTATACCATCCATATTTTCATGGGTCCAAAGAGATAAAGATACAAAAATACAACAATTAGAATCTAATATGGATAAACCAAGTATATCTAAGGCAGCATCATCTGAAAATGAAAATTCAGATAGAGGTGATGCAAATCTAAACACCTCAAACAGCAGCAAAGAATCGGAAGGTGAAAATGTTGAAGCTATTATGAAATTTATTGAAGAACAGGAACAGGAAATAACAAAGCAACAGAATGAAAGCCAATTGGAAAAGATCGCTAGTGATCAAAATGTACCCATCACCCATAACGACAATAATGAAAATAATGATTCTAATAATCATAATGACAACAATCAAGTGCTCAATGATATAGCAGAGCCTATGGTTATAGCAACGAGTGTTATGGACATGATTCTCAGCGAATCAGAAGCTAAAATAGATACAAAGAAGAATATTAAACCAATACCACAGAAACTGAGTAAAAATGATAAAGGTATGATATCTTTAATAACAGAAAACTAACAATGTATGATATGATATGATATGTATAATCCATAGAAGATGTTAGAGGCTTAGCTTCCTATTTGAATAAGTTACAAAATTTCAATTAATTTCTTTTGAAGACAAGATTTTGGCAAGCATTGCAATTTAGTATCAGAATTTTGCTAGCAACACTTTATTACTAAAAATATATTATGATGAATGTATTTAGATTGTTTTAATTCTATTTTATTGGGTTTACAGGCAACAGTGTTTCATTGTCGGTCGGATCTAAGGTGGAGGCCAAAGATTATGGGGAATTTTGGCATTCGGCTCAGATTGTGGAAGTAGACTATGATGAAATGGAAGTTCTTGTGCATTATGAAAACACACACAACAAGTCAGTATAAATAATGTAACCACTCATTTTGCAGTACAAAATTTGCCTGCCAGCAAATAAATGTAAAATAATAAGACGTTATAAAAAAAAGCTTATTTTATATTATGTAATCATTATATTCTGGTTTTATGTGATTGACAAATATATGACATATTGTCTTTTCATAATTTACTGTCAACTGTTGGCTAAACAACTGAACATCATTGTCAAATAAAATTGATTTTAGTAAATAAATATTTTCTTAATTTAATTTTCTACTATTAAAGTCACGTCTTGACGATGAGGAACAAAAAAATATTTGATTTTATGCAGCCAATGAGAAGGTTTGCTAAAACATACAATTTTGCTGCTTGTTTTTGCTTATATTTTAAAAAGTGTTTAATTTCGTCATCATATTAGTATTTGAAAGTAGTGATAGTATAAACAAATATATTAAATTAGGATGTCATGTTGTTTCTTAGACCCGATGAATGGATAAGTGTGAGCAGTCCTAGATTGAGGCTTACAAACAATTCCATACAAAGCACCCCTGCCAGAAATGTAAGGACTGAAATAAAACCTGAAAAAGAAGAAGTTAAAGTGGAGGAGAAACCAAAACAACAGTTTGTTGTTGGCGAAAGATGTCTGGCTCGTTGGAGGGACAACAGACGTTTCATAGCCACTATACAAACAGATCTCGGCAATGGTCAGAGAATTCATATACATTTGACAACAGAAGCCTACTAGTTTCGCAACAAAATACTAAAATTAATATAATTTTTAGGCAATTACGAGATTATGTTCGATGATGGTTTCAAATGGAAATGCACTACGTCAAGGATGTGTAAGCTCAAGGAATCTAAGACAGAACCGCTGACCATCGATACGTCAACGTCACCATCATCCTCCAGTCTTTCTCCAATACCAATTCCTGGAATCGGTCCAACTGGAAATATTCCAACCAGTCAATATTCATTCCACACACATCTATTCGATCCCACCAGAGATTATTTGGGCTCTAAAAGTGAGAGGCGAGAGATGAAACGCAAGTTGAACATAAAAGAGATATTTAATATTGGTCAGAAGAAACAAAAGAAAAAAGATACCGATCAAGAGAAATCAAAAATTGGTAAGGTCAAGAAGACGAGAATTGTTAAGAAGAAAGTTGACATTAAAACAGAAGTTGAACCAGAAGTTAAACTTGAAGTATCTCAAATAACAATGGAGATAAAAAAAGAGATTCCTGGTAAGAAACATATATTATAAAATATATGATGTTTAGTTTTTTTATTAAAGTATATATAATTTAGATGCAGTCGCTTCAATAATTGGTACTGTTGATAAAGATGAAGGCGAAAAAGCTAAAATTGATACAGAAATTAATGTACCAATGGATACCGCTAAGGACATTGAAGAATCTAAGGTTGAAGCTAATATTGAGGTTGCAAATGAATTTGACGCAAAAAATACAGGAACGGCCTTGGATGCAGAAGAGGTTGTTGAAAAAAATGACAACAACGATGGTTTAGTTAGTAATTCAGATCTCTTAGTCCCTAGCGACTTAGGCTTTCAATCAGAGCCTTCATCGGATCCTGTAAGTATTATATTTAATTAATTCACGGACTGAATGATAATTATATTGAATATTATATACAGTTTCAAATATATCATAAGTGATCAAACCAAATTACATAGGTTATGGAAGAAGAAGCAAAGTTAGAACAATTCGAAAAACCGGACGAAAGCAAACAAGAGGTTATAGAGAAAATGAAAGAGGTTATATGCAAATTAGAAGGCGGTTTAGATATACATAAGATAGATACTAAACGTGAAATGAACACGAAGCCAGTAAGCGAAGTTGTTACAACAGTAAAAGACGACACGAAAAGAAAGCTGTCCAAAATAAAGAAGAATAAAAGATTGAGAATGTTACAGGAGAAGAAAGTTAAGAAGCAGGTGGAGAAAGTTAAGAACGAATTGCTCGAGATGAGGAAACAGATGGAGGAGATGAGGAAACAGATGCTGATTAAGACGGAGGAGATGGCTCGCCCGCAAGAGATGCCGGAAAGCTTCCTACTGCCGGGAGAATGGTGCTGCAAGTGGGTCAACGGACAACCTGTGGGCAATGTGTGCGAGTTTGAAGATAAAGTTGACGGAAAAGGACTTAAGAGAATGAGCGTTCAGGTAACTTATTAGATGTTATAAGAAAATCGTTTACTGATTTGTAGTTGCAATCTATCATTAATTTGGTGTTTTCATTAAATTTTATTATGTAAAATATATGGTAAATAAATTTACAAATTCTGAATCATTGTCTGAGATTTTTGATCTCAACTACTGACTGGAAGGACAGAGTATAATTAATAGAAATGTACTAAATAGTATTTTGAAATTGAATTTATATTTTCATGTATATAATTGATATTTTCATGTATAATATTTGAAAAAAATTGCAGGTCGAGGATAAAAGACTGCCTCCAGGGTGGACTAAGCTTATGGTGCGACGAAGTTTTGGACAATCCGCTGGAAAATGGGACGTAGTATTAGTTGGGTGAGTATAATAAGATTATACGTGTTGGAAAGCAGTCATTTAGTGCTCTGTTACTCATCTATCAAAGTCAAAATTAATATAAGTACAAAACTTATCGATAAAAAAGTAAATTCGTATGGGTCTAAGTTTAATATAGAATATGGATGATGTCGAATAAATGACTCATAAATAATGGACTTGAAAAATTTCATTATATAATCAAAAATATAAATATGATTTTACAAAAGGATAAATTTTAGCTGCAGGGAGCTATGTTACTTTTGCACTCACGATTTAATATGAAACAACGTCTCAAAACAGCTTTATTTTGATTTTAAAAATTTAATACTTCCATTTCAGTCCGGACAATCGTAGGTTCCATACTAAGACGGATATAAGGAACTATCTTGAGCAACACGACGAATCCCTTAAGCAGCACGAACACGCGCTACTAGATTTCGGTGTACATCTGAAACTGTCTCGTAGGATGGGATGGTATACTACAGATGGTGGCGTTACACCGGCATTAGTGAAGAGAAAGAAATTAAGTATGAACAGGAAAGAAGGAAAGAAAAGAAAGAAAGACAAATCGGCGAAACGTGATGTAGGTTTAAAGAATTATTATTTAACAAGAATGTTTTTAGGGACCAATACGTTAAAAAAATCTGATAACTGCTAAAGTGTAAGTAAGTAGTTATTTCTAATATAATTTATAGTAATGTTTAAATTTACAGATGTCCTTGGAAGGCTTCAGTAAACATACATTTTACCCGGAAAGCCCACCGGTCTTTTTAGATAATCCCGTGGAAGACGATGGTTCTGGTAGGTTTTTTATTAACAAAGTATATGATTGGAAGCAAAATATTTATATGCGATTTTATTTTCCAGTGTACATCGGTTCTATGAAGGTGGAAGTGATCGATAATCTCTTGCGATGTCCAGCGGAAGGTTGTCTAAAGAACTTCCGAAATACAACGCTATTACAGATGCACATAAAACATTACCACAGGGAAATGAGAGAAATGTTGGGAGCCACTCCTAAAGTATTGGACTTAGCTCGCGAAAGAACGAAACCTACTGAAAACGAAGTCAAAAAGACGGAATTCGAATCCAAAATTATTAAAGTCAAGTTACCAAAACTGCCAAAAAGATCTGAGGAATCTAAAAGCCAATTAAATCCAGAAGTCAAAGAGCCTATCGTGCAAAAAACAGAGCCTCGACCTCAAACACCACCTAAACTGGAAATGCCTATACCAAGATCGCAGGATTCTCCTAAATTACGACAAGCCCTAATCACCAAACCGGCTAAAAGACCGAAAGTTCTACTCCCAGTAAGAAAACCGGACACAGAAGAAAAAGAAGAAATCCCAGAAGAAGTTGATGTAGAAAAGGCAGATTTCGACGACAGCTCCAATACTATAGAGAAACCGTTTGAGGAATTTCGAAGGAAATGTGATAAGAAGCGTAAATGTTTTTCAACTGTTTCAAGAAAGCCTATCAGCGAAGAGGATGAATGGTTCGGTGTGAATTCTGACCTCGACACTCGCTCCAGTTTCCCAGGGTCTGGCACACCGGACTCCAAAAACATGGATAAGGCAGTACCACTTCCGGTTTCCTCCGAGTCCAACGAAGAACAGAAGGACGGCAATATGTATATGTATACAGAGAGTAAGTTAGTCGTAGAGTATAATTTTTGATTCGGTTACATAAAAGTCCATGGTCATGTTTGGGTTTGATTGAATTAAATTATATACTTGTTAACATAAATAAAAAAACATAATTTACTAGCTGCGCCCCGCGGTGTTACCCGCGGATTTCCGGGATGTAAAGTAGCCTATGTGTTATTCCTGGCCGTCAGCTTCCTGTATACAAAATTTTATCAAAATCGGTTCAGCCCTTTGAGCGTGAAGAAGTAACAAACATACACACACACACTCATAAACTTTCGAAATTATAATATTAGTAGGATTATGAGCAGACCACGGACAGATTTTGGATGAAGTTAGTTCTTTAAAAATAGATTTCTCATCCAATATTAAGGATGAAACATTATATTGACTGGATTTATAATGAAACTGCATATCTTAAGTTCTACAGTTTATTTTTAAGTAATTAATTAAAATATTATTGTATGACGCTGTTTGGCCTATATATGATAGGATTAAAAAAAAACTAAGAGTAACATTATTAACTGCTTCAGGACTGAAATACTGACACAGCTCTTTAAATGAGAAATTTATTTGTAGTATTAATTTATTCTTATTATAACAGCTGGCGAACGTATAAAGATCGAGCACATGAAACGCGAGGAGATCATAAACTGTCACTGTGGTTTTCGCGAGGAAGATGGGCTGATGGTGCAGTGTGAACTGTGTCTGTGTTGGCAACACGCACTGTGTCACAACATACAGAGGGAGTCGGAGGTAATTACTAAAGATTATTACAAAAATTACCTATAATTGGACCATGGACTAATACAGGGTGACTGGTGAATTACTATCGATATTTGAGGACGTGATATTTGACGATCATATATGACAAAATAAAAATTAATATAACATAAATATTAATAAACTTCTAAGTAAAGTTAACCAAAAGTTGTGTAATTAATTAAGCATCGTGTGAACACCCTACAGATTAGGTATACACTGACACTCACACATACGCGTGTCGTGACGTAGTGTTGTATCAGCACGTCGCCGCACGCGTCCACACTTGAATATTTGGAACGTGTCAACACTTTACTTATTATTACGGAAATTTTGTCAAAAATTAAGTGCCTATTTTTTTTACATAATTCGAATGAGAATCATGTACCGAGTATTCTCCTTAAATATTGATAGTAATTCACCAGTCACCCTGTATATGGACCATAATGTACCACTTAAGAGTTAATTACTTTTTTAAAACCTATATTGCATGTACTTTTCTATACTAGGCTATTTCAAATTATTTTTGCTGTGAATAAGAATGTCCCTTTGTAATATATTATTATTATATCTTTAGGTTCCAGAGAAATACACTTGCAGTATATGCCTCAATCCTCGTCGAGGGAGGCGCTCCAAGCGTTTCTTGCACGATCAGGACAGACTGTATGAAGGCTTGCTGCCGGGGGCGAAGCCCTGCGAGTCTTTACGGCGGTCTCACGAATTGTCTGCTAACCTATTAAAAATTCAGGATGCTCTACATGCAATGCGAGTGAAACACTATGTAGCTACGTAAGTTATTAACAATATTTGACTGATGTATGATACTGAAACACTGGAATTGTAATATATTTTTATATTTACAGTAAAAAAGACCATCCAAAATTATATCTATGGGCCAAAGACTGGGAGAGTCCGGAGGTAAATTTCACCCAAGAAAGACTTAATTCTGATTACTCAGATCTGAATATTATTATAAATAACATCGGCAAGGAGAATTTGCCGCTGAAACCTGATGAAGTTAATCCACATCTGGATATAAGAATGCCTATAACCGAAGAGCCCGAAGATAGATTTACTCAGAGAGATAATTCATTAATGAATCTATCGTCAGTTCTGTCAAGCCCGACTGGGACTTCGTTAGATCTACCTATAACCACTTCTGAGTTGGAACGGCTGGCGAAATCCGTTCAAGGTAAGAAAATAATAATATAGTAAAAAACTGAAGATTTTTGGATACTATGACTCTTTCAGAAAATTTCATCTCGTCTACCCGTGATCACGATTGCTGTAACAGAACCGGAACATTGGGATTGTGTAGTTAAGAAATACTAAAAAATGTCTAGTATCCCGAAACCTTACTTTCGTTTTAATGACTAACCGCGAAAATATTAGATATTATTAACACAATTAAACAGTTTGAAATAATTATCTTAGCGTGGACTATAAGTTTTGTTACCTATTGTTTTTATCAAATGTAATTTCTTAAAAGTACTATTATTTATCCATCATAAATATCTAGGTATAAAAATTAATTTTAAACTTTTATCATTATGAAGAGAGTACTGAAATTAAAGCTTTCTTGATAAAAAAAAAAACATTTTTCTGTTATACTAAAACCTTTTGTTATAGTTTATCCAATAAGATTGTAATAATTTCCAAATCATAAGATTATCTTTTAAAATTGCAATGCTGACAATGTTCATAAATTGCAGCATTTATATTAGACTAGCTTTTTGCCCGCAGCTTCGTCCGCGTGGAGTTCGGTTGTATCGCGTTTCCAAGAGAACCTTTCAAAAGTCTGGGATAAAAACTATCCTGTTCTTTCTCAAGGTCAACTCTATCTCTACAAAATTTCATTAAAATCAGTTTAGTGGTTTTAGCGTGAAAGCGTAACAGACAGAGTTACTTTCGCATTTATTTCGCATAATATATTAAATACTTTATATATCTTTTATTGCAGAACAAGAAGTACAAAGAGTGGTCGTACCACAGCCCGAGGCGGCCATTGAGAACAGTGCATGCAGGGAACGCTTGCTGAGACATGTGCAGCGTTGTCAGGGCTTCATTGACGCTAGACTTGATTCTATAGAAGCACAAGTAGCTGGTATAATATGAAAACTATTAATTATCAGAATATTTTAGCCCATTATTCACATAAGTTTATACTGTCTAAATATGGGAGAAGTCTTGGCTTTGATAGTCATTAATTTTCCCATATTATGTGAAAAGGTATTTTGTTAAATGAAAAACTTTATCACTCTATTTTAGCCAATTATTCATACAACAAGTTTGATTATCTAAGTTTTATTATCTAAATATGTAGGAAGTTTTTGATTTGACAGTTATGAATCTTACCATATTATGGTAAAACTATCCTGTTAAATGAAAAACTGGTCATATGAAGTTTGATAATGCAAGTTATGGTATGACAACAAAATTTTCCCCACTTATTGTGTACATATTTGGTTATGAATTTTGATCTGTCAATGAAGTAACATGAAATAATTATTTGATTTTATAGAACTCGAATCTCAAGACCCTTCATTTGAGGATGACGAAACAGCAGATTTCTTCCCAAGAACAAAGCAAACTATTCAAATGCTGATGAGAGACCTCGATACAATGGAAGAACTGGGAATTATATCTTGAACTTTATTCAATTGAAAACTTCATAATATTTATAAGTTACACAAAAATGATTATTGTAAAAAAATACTGTTTGTAAATAAACATTTGAATTAATATTCTTTATTATTTATTAAGATGGAAGTAAATGAAATACAATTCAAAATTAGCAACCTTATATTAAAAATCAACCCTCGTAGAATTTGGGCAATTCATCACCAAGAATCACCGATCTCTCAACACCTGCCTCGGTAATGACACCGAGTCTTACAACGCCTCCTGATGAGCCGTCTCTCAACATGGCCAGAGTCAGAGTATTTGTTACAAACTTCTTAGCTTCTTCCTTAGACATATTAGGCTTGAAGTTGGCATCGACGTATCCATAAACATATGTAGAACCCGATCCACCGATTGACACAGCTTGCCGTTGTACCATACCACCAATCGGTACAGAGTAGATTTGGCCTGGAATTGGAGTTAACAGAAATTATTTTATGATTAAAGGTAGCATAAGTTATTATTAAAAATTTTCTCATACATTCTCTATAGTTACAATTTCATGACAGTCAACTCTCTAATTCAAAACTTAAGGGACTTAAAATATTTCGAATTATCGAGTGTTTGAAATTTGTGGAAAAAAAAACTTCGAATGAATAAGTATCGATTAATAATTATTTATTAACTATTCTATTCTATTATATAAAAAAAGAAAAAGTTTATAGTGTACATAAATATAGGTACATTCTTATATACGGGGTGACTGGTGAATTACTATCGATACTTGAGGACGTGATATTTGACGATCATATATGACAAAATAAAAATTAATATAACATAAATATTAATAAACTTCTAAGTAAAGTTAACCAAAAGTTATGTAATTAATTACGCATAGTGTGAACACCCTACAGATTAGGTATACACACACACACACACACACACTCGCGCGCGGCGGCGTGGTTATGTATCAGCACGCCGCCGCACGCGTCCACACTAGAAACACTTGGAACGTGTCCACGCTTTATTTATTTATACGGAAATTTGGTCAAAAATTAAGTACCTATTTTTTTTACATAATTCGAATGAGAATCATGTACCGAGTATTCTCCTTAAATATTGATAGTAATTCACCAATCACCCTGTATAATAAATCTTCTATTCACAATATAAACAAAATAATGATTTGAAAGAACTCTGTTATAATGTTTTGTTTCAAAACACATTGCTGCTGCTCAGACTGCTCAATAATTTTTTTAAGTGAAAAAGTGCCTTATATGTTTTTTTTATCACTTTCGTTTTGCAAACAGAAGCTTTGTAAGGTATTGAATGAGGATTATGCTTCCTTAACTGACACCTATGTTAAAGGTTTGTTCAAGTTTGTTTGAACAAAATCATTTGACTTCTTTCTATCTGCAACTTTGAATTGTCGAGTGTTGGACGCCGATGAGTTAGAATTAACGCGTCGATTTATTATATAGCAATGAATTTTTCGTTGGAATTACCAAGTGCATAAAAATGAATTGATTTAGTTCAAAATATAAAGAGATTTTGCAGGGAACTTGTGATGACTGAATTATAGAGGCTCGAATTATCGCAAGTTGGAATTAACAAGAGTCAACTGTATTACCAAAAGGTTTTAAGTCTTGAAACATTGATTAAAGACAGAGTATAAAATATTTCAACTACTGATAACAAAATTATTGATATTTCACATACCTGATATTTATTTGAAAGAAATTACTATAAAAGGCAATTGTTTTATCTCACCTCCTTTCTTTTTATCCCAACCAGCGACCAGGATACCAGCCACTAGTGAGTCACGGTAATTGTAACAAAGTTCTCGGAAGATTGCTGCTGCTGTTTGTACCAGTGGAGGTTCACCGAGCTCCATCTTATGAAAATCTAAAACATTCAATACATACATAAGAAAGTTTACAATAATATTACCAAAATATTATCAAATCCACTAAGATACAAAAAAGTAAAACACACAATATAGTTATTCAAAATTTACTACTCATAATTCGTAGTGGCAATTTTAAAGTATGACCATCTATATTAAGTCATGTCAGAATAAAACAATAGAAATTACATGTAATGGACTCTTGGGTTAAGCTCCTAAATAGTGTCTTCAAATTGTGCATTACTTACTGAGATGATAAGTTACAATATCGGCAATAGCTTGGGTGTCCGCAGCGGAGCCGGAGCGGCAGCAATAGATGTGATCAGTAATTCTCGTGAGTTTATCCGTGACTCTATTAGCGATGTATGCGCCGGTGGTAGTTCGAGAGTCCGCTCCGATTATGACTCCACCGTCGAACTCACAGGCCATGATAGACGTGCCGGTGCTGTGAGGAGCGTTCATCCAGCTCATTGAAGGGTCTGTGTACGTATCAACCACTGAGGCAGCCATGGTTCTGAAATTTATACTTTGTTTTAAGTAAAATCTTGGTAGATCCAAATATGACATTAGCATAAAGCAATATTCTCATTGGCCGTCTTATAAATTAAATATAAAATCACCAAAATTTATTAAGCTCTTATTCGATCTATCTATGAAACGAGAGTTAACTTACATTAATTTCTTTAAAACAATTTGTAGTAACAAATTTTGAAAGTCACGATATAGATGCGGTAAACTGCCGTAGTGCTGTCAACATAAAACAAACGTCATGATTCCGACAAAATATGTAGATTAAATAAAATGAACAGATAACGAAAGTCTCAGAATAGTAAAGTTGTCTATGAATTTAATAAACAAAATTTTCAAAGGAATTTGAAATAATATATATAATCTATTTCCTTTAAGCAGTATTTATTTTTGTTATATACATAATCATTTTTAATTATAAATTATTTTGGTCTTGACGCTTACTTTAGAGGGCAACAAAACGACATTCGTTCTAAAATGCGCGAGCAATTCAAAAAGTCTAGTATTTAAAAAGGACCGTTATTTATATTCATTCTAGAGATTTTTTGTTTCATATTGATTTCACTATTTAAACCTTATGAAAGAGAACATAACCAACAACCGAAATCATTAATATTTACTTATTTATTTTGTTACTCCAGAATATAAATTAAATTTTTATAGAAGTTTCATTTAAATATTCGTAAATAAAATTGTGTATATACGAGCGAACAGTAGGTTTCGTGAGAGAAGGCACCAGGGCTACAAAATCAAACGTCAAGCCTTGCTCCATCCTTAAAGCGGTTTCGGATTGGACTATCATGATAGACACGTATGAAAAACAATACAAAATCTCCGATGATTTTTGAGCGTCGGCCTCTAGACCAGATATATTTTTGTATAGGTACGCGAATTTTAAAGCGCTTTGTGATGATAGCTTACGGTTCCTTGGGAAAGCAACATCCCCAAAGACCATACCATCAGGTCAATAAATATTACGAGGTCACTAATCAACTCACTCGAAATTTCGTATTTTGGTTCGTCGTGGATTTGTACTCAGTAGAAGAAGGAGCGAGAGGTATAACAGCGAAATCTCTCTACAAGCTACTAAAAGACTTGGGCTTGTCCAGAACTCACATTAATTCATTCTTGGAATGTACATCGAAAGAAGCCCTATTAGGTTCTTTTTAAATTTGGTTAGGTAAAGAGAGAAGCTTGGACAGTGGAGGTGAGCGTTTAACGCACGTTAGATAAGGGGCCTCTGAAACAAACACCTGGGTCGCAAGTCCCAGGCACTGTTGATGCATTGAATGCTAAAAGGTTTCGTCTCATATAGAAACAAAATTTTTTGAAAGAGAAATTACTGCAAGATACTTTTTAAATTAGTCGGATTTCAGAAAATATTATTATAAAATCAAATAAAAAACTGTTGACTTATCGCAACAAAAAAAAAAATCAAAATTAAAAGAAATAAAATTAAAGTTGTTGCATTGTACTTATAAGGTGGAGCAGAAAAAAAATATATATAAATTAAAAAAATAATCGTCAATTAAGTAATTATATCGTGCATACTTTTGTATGACTATTGCATAACTTTTTATTAAAACGTACTTATAATAGAAACAGTGTCAATAGGATTACGACAACACATCCCTACAAATTATATATATGACAGCTTTTATCGACCCTGACTTATAAGAATTAATTATTGATAAGAACAAAACAAAAATAATCACAATGTTCATATCCTTACTAATATTATAAATGCGAAAGTAACTCTGTCTGTCTGTTACGCTTTCACGCCTAAATCACTGAACTGATTTTAATGAAATTTGGTACAGACATAGAGTTGACCTTGAGAAAGAAAAAAAGAAAAATAGTTTTTATCCCAGACTTTTGTAAGGTTCTCTTGGAAACCCGATAGAACCGAACTCCACGCGGGCGAAGCTGCGGGCGGAAAGCTAGTAGGTATAATATAAAATATATACATATATGACAGTCTACGATTATTAGCATTTTTGACTAAAGCAGATACTAAGAAAATAATCAAAGAAAATAAATTAATTATCACATTGTCTACAAAAAAGTTTTCGTCGTATTCATGAGTTACGAATTAAGAGGAAATTACGTACTTTTCTTTATATGATATGTGCATTTTATTTGAAATAGAATTTATAAGCTTGTTTTATTTTTAGTTACAATAGACGTATACATATTGGAAGAAGAGTTTTCGAAAATATTTTGTATTTCTGTGTTTGCACATTGTTGTAAAGTTTCAAAAGATTCGCTGTCTCACCGTGCGTGGGTGTCCTACACTCATTAGTACTCTTGTCCCACTAAAAAGGTTTTTTTTTTAATCATTCGGCACGCTCCATTTCATACGTCACCCCGAAATCGATGTTTATTTAATCTTTATAAAAGAGTCCGTTGAATGAGCATAGGTTTTTGATAAATCGTTTTTTCATTCAACATTTTTATTCAAAAGGTTCATATATTTTATATTTATTCTTCAAGTTTGCGATTCGCCACCGTCGTTCAATGAGAAAGGACGCGAGCGTCTCATAAGACGTTTAGGATTTTCGTTATAGCTGCTCTGTCAGTTTTGATACTTAGC